AAAAGCACACCATAATAATGTGCTAGTTTTCATATTTTTTTTCTTTCCCCAAAAAGAAACCGAAAACTTACTTTTTGGCAGATAACTTTTAAACAGCATGCATACCGTTCCCCATCAGCGTATGCTAAAAACTACTTTTCCCAGAATGCTGCAGTTTCAGGGATCTTTAACCCTTCACAGGGAAGAAGAATACAACTGATTTCATAATAACGGAGGGATTTATTAATGACCATGGCCCAAAAACTGAAGTTGCGGATATAGGGATCTAACCAAATGCAGAACTAGGGCTTACAAGCGGATTTGCATCGGTTGATGCTTGTTATTGTAGCAAAGCTTGAGCATTGCAAAGGAACATACTATATTATCACAAATAAATCACGTTATCACTTTTCAAAACTGCATTGTACAGCTAGACTCTATAATTTAATATTTTTTCAGTTAAAATGACTGCAAACACAGGTTGAAAAGTTATTAATTGCCCAGCATTCTTTTGTTAAATCACACTTAAAAGCCCAAAAATTTCCCTTAAGCTGAACCAAGGTTATAAACTGTTAATGCTTTTTCATTTGTGTTGGTTTCCAGACTATTTCCGGGCTCAGTTCAAATCCTTAAAGGGAGGAATAGTACAGTATTATAAAGCGTGCATACACACACCGCCCCCCCCCAAGGCACACAAACAAACCCAAATAATATATAAGACTTTTAAAGTCATTAACGTCTTGACCAAAAATCTGAGATGTGGAAAGATAATGGTTGCTTTTCTGGAACAAATCTATTTTTCAATTTTTATCCTATCTTTAATTTTGTACAACTCAAGCAGCATATATAATGCTCCCATGTCCTATTTTCCCTACAACGAGAACCCTGTGAGGTGGGTTGGGCTGAGAGAGAGAGTGACTGACCCAGTCACCCAACCAGCTTTCATGCCTAAGAGAGGACTAAAACTTTCAATCTCCTGGTTTGTAGTCTAGTACTTTGACCATTACATCAGATTGGTTCCATATTTTCTCATGTTGTGCTTGGAGAAAGGAGTCATGTATGAAATACATTGTACCTGTACAGGGAGTTCCCAAGTTAAGAATGTCCAGGTTACAGACAACCCACAGTTAAGAACGGAGCCTATTGTTGCAAAAGTTGAGTTAAATAAACAATGATTTGAGTTAAATATACAATGATTTGAATTCATTACACAATACTACTTATACAGTATTATACAGTAATACTGTTCCAGCTTACATACAAATTTGACTTAAGGACATTGGGAACTTAAGGACTTTGGGAACATAAGTTGTTCTTAAACTGGGAACTACCTGTATATAGCACTTGGAATTTTTTTTTCTCTTAAATTTTAAAGTTTTTCCTTAACCTGCTTTCCTCCTAATATGCTGAATAACAGCTCCTAAAATCAAATCAAATTTCTTTTTTATGGTAACAGACCAGAGTTACAAATAAAAGTATATTAAAGATGCATTAAATGCATTAAAAATACATTAAAATGAAATGAAACAAAACATGAAAATATATTTACAGATTGGTGGGATCATCAATGGGCAAAGTCTGCCTAATTTTACAAACAGCATAACAAAATTTAGCTACATTCAGAGAAACTAAAACATTCTGATCAGATAGGAACAGCTGCACATAAAAAAGATAAGAATTTCCTGGATGTTTTACCAGATGAGGAGTTATTAAACGGGTCTGTGAGTCCTTATAGAAAATACAATATAGCAGGACATGTGCTGTAGTTTCAATAGCCCCTTGTCACAGGGGCGCAATCTCAGCTCATATGGGACTTTTTTGTATCGGCCCTCCAAAACTGCTGTAGGAAGAGCATTACAGTGTGCTAGAGTTAGTGCCCTCTGAAATTTGGAGACAGTGATGTAATTTAGGTATCTCACTGGCTTATAAAAAAAGGCTTGATGTCCCAAAAAACATTCTTAGGTAAAGCGGACTGGTCCTGCTGGACTTCCAGGTCTTTGATACGCTGTTTAAATTCACTGAGTGCACGCTCATAGCCCATCATTAGGAATACCTCCCTAGAAAAGCCAAGACATTGGCATTTTTGTAAGATAGTCCTGGACCATACTGATTTATAATTATCCTTAATAAGAAAAGAATCCAAACCTATGGGAAAAAACAGTAGTTTCAGCTAATGTGCTATAATACAAATCCATGCACCTGTTTCAACTTTGGACAACCCTGCTTCCCTCCTTAATACTACATTTGGAATGCAAGGGGCTACCTGAAATATGGCTCTTAGGAATTTGGATTGAACCCTTTCCAGAGGAGTTCCATGCACCTGTTTCAACTTTGGACAACCCTGCTTCCCTCCTTAATACTACATTTGGAATGCAAGGGGCTACCTGAAATATGGCTCTTAGGAATTTGGATTGAACCCTTTCCAGAGGAGTAAAGGAAGGATAAGGTCCTAGTTGGGCACCAAAGAGTAATTGTATATGAACCTGGGTATAGCTTCAGTGCTGCTGGGATATGCTGCGCTTCTCTGGTAAAATGAAAAGATTGGATTGCGGCCACTGTTTTTTCAGCATTTTGTATAATGTAGTTTTGGTGCGCGCTGTGTTTAGTGGAGCCATGAAAAACCATGCCCAAGTAGTTAAAAGATTTAGCTTGTTCAATATTCTGGCCATTTATTCTCCAGATGTGCAGTTTAGGTCTCTTTGCAAAGGCCAAAATCTTGGTCTTGCTAATAGCTCCTATAATCCACAATCTTCTTTGAAAGCTGTCTCCATATGATTTGAGGAGTTACTACTGTATGTGGAAAATCTACCATTCTATGAAAGGAATATTCCAGGGGAACCCAGGAGGTTTTCTTCTAGACCAGTGTTTCTCCACCTCAGGAACTTTAAGATTGTGGACTTCAACTCCCAGAATTCTGGAGCTAGCTGGGTTTCTGGGCATTGAAGTCCACACATCTTAAAATTGCTGAGGTTGAGGAACACTGTTCTAGACCATGCCAATCAGGCAGTTCAGGGAGTGCTGAAAGCAGTTCATTGTGTTTTCTGGAGAAAACAGCCAAAGATTTAAAAAAAAAATCTAGTCTTTTTAATTATCTTTGTTTTGGCTTTTAGCAGATTTGTGTTTGGCTTCTAATGTTTTAAAACCTTTCTAAGCTGATTTTTTTATAAACAATATAAAATTCTTATATTGGATTTCTTATACTGTATTTTATGTTTATGAATATTGTCATCTAAACTTAGTTATGGGGTGTCAGCCAAATCTTAAAAATATAAGAGCCTTGCTGAATCAACTTATCTAATCTCGCATTCTGTCAGTGATCAACATTAAGAAAACTCTTAAGTATGAACAGGGAATTAATACATTTGTTCTTCTGAAGCTGTTATTCAATTTATATTCCCTGACTCCGACTAGGAACCATTGGTAGTCTTTTTCTCCATGAATTTTTCCAGTCGTCTAAATTGGTAGCCATCACAACTGATGATAGCAAATTCCTGTTTAACTATGTGTGATATTGTTTATAGTAATAGGGCTGTACAATTCTCTGGATTCAATTTACAACAGGTTCTTTGGAATGTGCAAAAGCGCAAATGTACCTATATGCAACTCATTAAAGCAGCTGTGTCTTTCCCCAAGATTGTGCAACACACACACACAATCTTGGAAAGGGATATAGCTGCTTTAATGAGTCATAGACAGGTGCTGCACTCAGGCTCCTAAAGCTCCAAAGCACCTTTCCAAACTGCATCCAAAGCACTGTACAACCAGGTAAATACTGTGTATTGTGGTTGTGACAGGCTTCTTCAGATGTATCTAGAGAAGCCAAGGTTTGAATTGAGGATTTTTAGAATGCACAACGTTGTATTCTGTGTCTTCTCTTACCACAAATGCTATGGCTTTTCTTACCCACCTCCCCCTTGAATTATGTGTCCAAGCTCCAAATAAACATTTAATTCAATTAAAATGCTCCTGACATTTCCTTTATTTAGTTACTGAGTTTTGTATGATTAATGGACTAAAATGAAATGTGTTGTTTTTGTGGCTCATTTTGTTATGTGAAGTCAGTTTTTTCCTTAGTTCCTCACCACAATGACACCAAAATGACAAAATGTGCACAAGAATTCCCCGATGTTGCATTCAATTACCTAAGGATCAGACATTCTTCATTTGCTTCCTCCCTGGTCTATGCTTATTTAGTTAAACTAACCATCTTGTGCGAGCAGAGCCAATAATTTCGCTGGACGTTTAAAATGGCGCCTCGGGGATTACTTCGGTTTGACTTCAACTGCTTTGAGCTCTATGCTAGATAGACGCACTCGCACTGAAGACGAAGCCGAGAAACTATGGAGTTATTTGAATTTAAGGCAGATATTCTTCAGAATATGTGTGCATAATTTCGGGCCACGACTGGCAGCCCACCATATCGAGCTAGTTACAAGCTCTCTTGAACCTTTCCGAGTAATGTTTAGAAGAGAGTCGATATGTCCTCCCGGGCCATATCATCGGTCCGCCTGTCCCCCAGGCACACAAGCTCCCACTTCTTTGGCAAGCCGCGCTCTTCCGACTCCCAGCGGCAGGCAGTCACCTCGCAGTGAAGCACAGCAGCAGTAACATGGCCGCTATGACCAGCTGAGGCGGAGCAACGGTACGACGAAGGTCTTCCCGCTCTGAGCACAGATTGGCACGAACCTTCGGGACGGGGCACAGTTTAGTTCAACCAACGTTTAAAGTTGGGGGAGCGCCCATGAAATGACTTCCACGATCAGAAAATAAAATTCATTTTGACCACGGAAGTAATCTTCCATGTGTCCTCCGTTCCCACTTCTCACGGGAACAATGACTAGCAGTTGCGGCAAACCGAAAGAAAGCAACAACGTCTGTGGGGACTCGGAAACCAGCCGATTCGGTACTCTATGGCTAAGATTGAGAGCAGAGCGTCCACACACAGACGGCTTCAGTCCCCACCTCCGGCCGCACGGCAAGCAATCAGAGAACGCAGAACATAAAGGAAGGGGTAGGAAGTAGCTGCATCTTCTTCCGGCGTTGCATTGTAGAGCGCAGGCGGATCTGCGTCTCGAGGAGAGAGGGGCTTGTGCCGCGCAAGGCTGTCATGGCGACTAACATCGAGCAAATTTTTCGGTCTTTCGTCGTTACCAAGTTCCGGGAGATCCAGGAGCAGCAATTCGGCAGGTAAGAAGTGGGGAGAGGAATGAGCTTCTATTGCTTGGTAGCAGGTAGATTCTGGCGGTAGTACGCGGAGTAACGGATGAAGCGGATGGAGTGGGGGAGGGGCTGTCCAAGAGACCGGAAGGGCCATTGAGGGGGACACAGCTGTACGAGAAGGGGGCCGAGGGCAAACTTGGTCGGAGTGACGAGTTGAATTAGTCACGAAAACTGTGGGAGAGAAACTGGGTTTCCAAAGACGTAAAGGGTGCGGGGGGGGGAGGGAAGGAATCAGAAAGGGGTTGGGGGAGAAGCCGATATACGCGGCCTGACAATAACTGGACGTTGGATTGGTATCGCAGAGAATGTAAATACTTCGTTATTTGAAATTTCGAAATAGGTAAGAGAGTTGGAAGTATTCAGTGGGTTTCAGAGCACGAAAACGGATTTTAAGTCCTGGAACTATCTAAAGAGGTAGTAACCCCCCCCCCTCAAAAAACAGTCTTACTGTATATCATCCAGTGTTTTAGAAAGTAGACGCGTTCAGGAAAGCTAGGTGCTTATTTAGTATCCTCTCCAGGGAATAAGAAAGACAGGAGAATTACATGGAAATAGACTGATAAATCCAGTTCACTGTGCGTGGAAAGTTATGGTAGAATCTAAGTTCTTTAAAGGATAGCTTGGTATGGTTCTGAATCAGTTTACTAAGAATGTCATTGGAAATACTGATTTTTTTTGGAAATGTGTGATTATTTTAAAGTAAAATTAAACTACATTTTAAAAAGTAGTTGTGAAACAATACCTTGTTTATGAATATTAATGAAGAATCTCTGTTCTATCCAACTAATTTTACATATTGGATTATATATAAAATTGATAATAGAAAGATAATTCTCTTTTTATTGATGAAACTATCCTTTTATTATATTACTTAGTTATATACAAGTGCCTCAGTTTCTGTTTAATTTTACTTATATTCATAATTTATTCTTATTATATATGACACCTGATGTAGACTAATTAGACAAGATGAAGAATGGGGACCTTTTTTGGCAATCTGATAATCATATAAAACACTGCATTCTGATTATAGAGGCAGTAAATGAAATACAACAAAGAGGCTGTTATTTCTGTTATGTCGGAAAACAAAAGGGTTTTGGCAAGGAGTTATGTCAATATGCTGTTTTAAAGATCTATAAATATTCTTTAAATTTTATAATTTGGTAATACATGTTGCAACAAACAAAGATGCAGATTGGAAATGCACATCTATGTAGCAATTCACAGAACTTTACATTTTAATAACTTTTATGTTCTGTAGTTCAGTGTCTTAAATTGTGTTCTGTGGAGGTCACTAGCCTGAATGTGAATGTGTTCTGTGTTTTGGAGTCAGTTTTACTAGCTAAATGAGCACCCTGTGTGTGAATGAAGAACTGGTATTGACAATTCTGCCTTCAGTGGTTGGATTAAAAATAATAAGGAAAACTTCCAAAAAATATGAGCTTTAAGGGTAAAGTCATTGAAGGTCCAACTGTACTTCCTTCAGCATATATTTGTGAAAATGGATTTTCATTATTCTAACCAGGAACAAATATTGAAATTAGTTGAATGATATGCCAACTTCTAAAACTTTCTTTAAAAAAAACCACACTGCAGGCATTGGTGAAATATACTTTCATATGCATCCCATTAAAGTTTATAACCAATGTATGTAAGGGAAAATAAATAAAATAACCAATGTATGTAAGGGAAAATAAATAAAAAATATTATAGTTCACTTGTTTCTTTATTTTTTGTTTGTTTTAATGAGGTATCCTTCATGAAGAACACTTAGTTCATCTTAGATCTTGAAAACACTGTCTGATGCTGTTTTCATTTAATGTTAGAAGATCCTATAGCTTCATATATTTCAAGGGTATCAGTGTAATATCCCAACAGTATTCAAAACCATTCCAAATATGCATTGAGATACTTGCTGGTATCATGTCATGTTTTTAATACAGAACAATGATGGTAAATATACCTTTCATTTTCACGTAATCCTAAACAAATAAATGTAATTCAAGTTTACTTTAGTTAGGGTGAAAATATCAGGTTGTATCTATACCATAAAACTGTATAGCAAAGCATGTAATGTTCTAGAAAGGAGTAATAATGATCAGCTAAATATCACTTGAAAGGGCCACCCAGCTTCTTAATAATTTTATTATGCTCTGTAATGTTGATTTGTAAAAGGCTTTTATTTACCTATATCAGCTCAGTGGATGTAATATTGCATATGGCTAAAAAAAGTATGTACATAGTTAGGCAAAAATACAGCAGTATTGTTTCAAGCAGTAACTTCAGAAGAACAAACAGCACTGAAGGTTGACAACCTGTAGTAGGAGATAGCAGTAAAAGAAGAATTCTGCATGTAAATATGCTGGTTTTATTGTTATATATGCTTAATTGCCAGTTCAATTTTAAAAAATCAGATGTAAATACCATGATCAAAATGCCTGCAAGGAAATTTATGTCCTCTCACCTGTTTTTATCTACTCTTCTAAGTAAATGTATGATACAACTCCTGGTATTCTTGTCTCATCTGTAGTTAAAAATAGGGACATTGGACATCATTATAGGTAACATTATATACTTTAAGAGACATGTAGTGTTCTGTACATTTGACTGACAAAAGAACTTACGATTTAATTGTCAGTTATTGTATTAAAATTAAAAGCTCTATGTGATTATTACCTTTTCCTTTGTTTTGAATTCGATTATGAAAATTTTTATATTTATACATTTTTTGTCTAAGACAAGTTTATGCATGAGCTGTTGAACTAACAAATACATAGGGTATGTCTCTTTGACTGTATATTCCTGAAATATGTCTGATCTTGAGATTTTTAATTTTTTTCCCCTGATTAGTGGAAAGATAGGAAATCAGCACAATGGTGAAATAAACACATCTGGACAAGTAAACTCTTCAGATGATACAGTTCAATCTATAGAAAGTCTTCAAAATGAATCACTAGTGCAGAAGATAGAACAAGTATTATCAGAAGTGTTGGGTACTGAGCCACGGTACAAATCAGGTAAATTAAACATATTTTAAGATGTATAGTTTTATTTACATCTATGTCTCTATTTTAAATGTATGTTTTGTGGAGATGAATAACACACTATTTTGCAAAATGTGTTGTTTTACAATAATGTTTTCCAAAGTGTTCTGTACCATTTGCTGTGTAAAGATGGATTAAATTGACAGAATTTGAAGAAAATTGCTGGATCAATTTTGTATATGTTTTGTACTAATTTATATAAATTAAGGTAGCATCAGTATAAATGTTTACTTAATGTGTTCTAAAACAATATTTTAAATTGTAATAGTTTTCAGTAGAAGTAATTTTCTGAATATATAGACTTCCGTGCCATAAAGAAGCTGAGGGATGATTTTGCCTTCAAACATCTTAACCCACTGTTGATATACAATCACCCTCCCCTCCCCTTTGCATGGAAAAAAATTAAGACATGCTTCTTTGGGCATAGAGAACAGGATATTTGATTTGTTTTCTCCATTAAAGTCCTCAGAAATGTAGAAACTGTTCCTGTTAATATGCCAGATTTTTTCCTTTTGACTTTTTTTTTTTTTTTTTTTGCGAAGTGTAGTATCTTGATTTTCTGATGGTTAATGACCAGCATTTCAGTATTACAAAAGACCAGTAGGGACTTCTGTGCTCTACTAATATCCACCTAATTGCTGCATAACCAGATATGTTATAATTGGAATCACTCTGTCTGCCAAAAAAGGAGGATGAAAATTTAGGTCAGAAAGGGACTGCATGATTTAATTATAATATGTAAATTAAAAAGAAAGGGAGCTAAAAATGGCCTGTCTTATGGTGAAGATATGCCCCCGAATAACCCTAAGGCATAAATGAATATGCTATTAGGGAATCAGTAAATATAGGACCTTATCTGAGTACTTTTAGAATTCATAGTATATATCAGTATTATTAGTATAATTGTTTGATGACTCACAAAACAATCCTGATAATAATTCCAGCAAAAATAGCAAAACAGCTTATTGGTTAGTCTTGTAAAATCTAGCCTTTGATTTTCATACAACTTTATGTCAGTTTTTGCTGTTTTATATTTTAAAATTTTATCCAAAATACCTTTTTAAAGGGGATGGAGAGGATATCGAAAGAAACAATTCCCGTTCTACTAAAAGAGGCTTATCTGAAGAAGTGCAAGATGAAATTCCAAGGAAAAAGTCTAAGAAGGACAAGAAGCACAAAGATAAAAAGAAAAAGAAAAAAAGAAAGAAGGAAAAAAAAGAGAAGAAATATAAAAAGCATGCCAAAGAAATAGATGTTCAGCAGAAAGAATGTGGAGATATGCAACTTATTTCTCATTCAAACCTAGAAAATTCAGGTTCTCTCTTAAATGCAGAAAATGATATGGATAAACAGTCTGGGTCTACCTTGAAAGAAGTTTCTACTTGGATTAATGAAAAAACTGCATATGAAAATCTAAACTCAGCTGTGTTGAATAATGTGTTTAGTTCAGATACCAGCAAACTGGATACATCTGAAGAAGATTCTACTTTGATAAATATTCAGGAGGTCATTGAAGTCAAGCTTACAAATGATAAAGAATTGGAAAATGACACTTGCCAATCTAATGTAACTGTAAATATATGCACAGAGGGTGAATTTTTAAGTGGTGCTGTTTGTACAGTTGTAGAAGGAGTGTCGGATATAAAAGAAATGGAGCAAACCAAGTTAATGTTGGAGGCAACAGATCAAGAAAGTGTTCCTGAAACCAGTCCACATTGTGTAATACGGGAGCCAGAACATTTGGAAACTAGAGTGGAGTCTGCTGCAGTGGAAGTAACAAGTATAAATTCAGTCACAGAATCTGTGACTTCAAAAAGCTTGAAACAAACAATACCAACATCCTTTGAAACAACCGGCTATAAATTAATGACCCTACCTTTGGAATCAAATGTAGAAGCTAAAGATTCAGTGACAACTTTAGGATTTTTAGCTATGGTGGTAGGAAAAGATTTTGAAGCAACTTCAGAATTTTTAAATACTGCAAAAGTGAAAGCTTCTGAAAGAAGTCCTAAGCATACCAGTAGAAAAAGTGATCCAGTGCATGATTCTGAGAAAACTCTCACAATGAAAGATTTGCACAAACCACTAACGTTTGGAACAGAACGGAAAGATTTGGAAACTGCTCCAGAAGCTGTCCATGCAATCCCTGAAAAAGATTTTGAACCAGCTGTGGTAGCTCAACTGAAACCTCAGCAAAAAGTTTCAGAATTTGATGTACAAAAATATAGTAGAGCAAGCCTCGGTACAGAGATTCTGACAGAGATGAAAGAATTTAGAGAACCTGAAGTCTCTACCCTCATGATGGAACTGAGTGAGTCAGAGAAAACTGCAAGATATCTGCCAGTCCAAAGAGATGCAAAAGATTTGAAAAGAACACCACTATTAGAAAATATGACTAGAATAGATTCAGAAGAACATCTTTCAGTTGAATTATTGGAAAGAAAGAATTTGGATGTTGCTTCTGATTTTATGGAAATTGACACAAAATGTTTAAGAGCAAAATCTGATGGTGTAACAGAATCAGAAAATTGGAATACTGTTCCAGAATCTCTTAAAGCAAAGGAGGTAAAGAATCTAGAATACCCCCAGGAATTTGAGAAGGCTGAACAGATTAATTATTTGGAAACATCATTAGAAACTGCAATAGAAAATAGAGGAAACTCTGAAATCGCTCAACGTTCTCTGGCACTGTTTAATGTGAAAGTTCCTGAAAACACTTCACAGTTAAGAGGGGTGACTGTTTCAGAAACAATTATGGAAACAGAGATTGTGAAAACACAAAACCTGGAGGGTTCAAAATATGTAGATCTAAGAAATAAAGAAAATGAGAATGTGGAGAAGTGGAAAAATATTCCAGAATCTTTAATGACAGTAAACAATTTAGAAAATACCTCTTCAGAGTTGCAGTGCATAGAAGAAATTAAAATAGTGAAGGAAACTTCACAGTCTGATACAGAGGCACAGAAAAAAGATTTCAAAAGTGGTCTTGAGCCTGAAGGGGAGAGAGAAAAGAGAGATGTGGATGCTGGTTCAGAATCTCTGCAGATGATATTTGCAAACTATTCAGAACATAGTCTAGAACTTTATACAGAAACTGAAGGTATGATGGAGTTGAAAAATTCAGAAGCAGTTCTGAAATCATTGCATAAACAAGATGCTGACAATTTTGAATCACTGTGTACTAAGGAAATGAAATATATTAAAAATACAGAATCTGAAGCAGTGACTGGAGCAAATGATTTACAAGAAAACTTAAAACCATTGCATAAACATGTAAAAAATGTGGAAACTGCATCAGAATCAATTGCATTACCAATTATGACATACATGGAAACAGTTCAAGGTATTTCCAATAGGAAAAGAAATGAAACTGAATCTCATTTTGTGCAAGAAGTAGAACAGAAGTGTTCTGATTCCACTGACTTTGTAAAGAAGAATCAAACTGGTGCAGAGACAACAGATTTGGGACTTACATCAAGATATAAGGAAGTAATTAAAACAGACTCCAGAAGAATAAGAGAAAGTGAGTTAAGCAAGAGTCAAGGTCCATTATTCATTTCAAAATCATTGCATGAAAAGGATGTAATAAGTTCAGAAAACAATCAGTCTAAAGGAATAGCAGTAGTACAAGACTTAAAAGAATTTGGAAAATCTCTTGCAGCTGCAATTGATCCTAAAGAATTTTTTAAATTGAAGAATGTAGTATCAGTTGAATCAGATTTTCCATTTGGCAGTACCGTGAAACAATTTGAATCAGTTTCAGAATCTCTTGAAGAACAAAATCTAGAACTACTGGAACACACAAAGACACAACTTAGAAAAGTGTGTTTAGATTCTGTGCCTGATTTGGAAATTAAACATGCAAGAACAAGTTCAGAGATTCTGTATTCAGATGAATTTCATATTCAGGAGGAGAAACAGAAATTGGAAGAAAAAATAGAAACAACAGGATTAATGGAAGCATCAGAACCTGTACACTTGTCGGAGAGAGATCTGATTGTTCCTACTTCTGATTCTGCAACTATAGATTCAGAATATGGTCCAGAATCTATGTACTTGGCAGAAACAAATTCAGAGAACATCCTAAAATCTTACAAAATTCAAGTGAAAGATTCAAAAACAACTTCAGAGTCTATGATCTTAAATGTAAAAGACTTGAAAATTGATTCAGAACCTTTGCTTCAAGCAGGTGTAGAAATTAGAGAATATCTTCTGGGACATAAATCAGTGCTAACATCAGATAGTGTGCAATTAACACCAGAAACTCCCAGAAAAAATGAAATGCTTCCAGAATCACAGGGTATTTCAGGGTTGCCAAAATCAGGTACAATGCTCAGAAGTGAAGGATTGACACATGCACATTTGAAAATACCTCCAGCATGTATACGTGTGATGGATACTGAAGTTGTAGAAATAACTCCTAAGTCCAAAGAATTGGAAGTAATAGAAAAACAAGAAGGTGTTCTAACATCTCTGTTTCCCTCAGTAGAGTCTACAGATGTATTGGAAGAAAGTTTTGAACGTATGTACACAACAGATGTGAACAAGGTAGAAGCAAGTCAGAAGTCAATAAATGTAGAATCTATAGGTAAAGAAAAGATGAATGATGAGCACATCCAGCCAGTTAATGAAAATGATGCAAATATTTCAGAAACATTTATGTCTTCAAAACATACTGTAAGGGCACAAATTATAGAAGATATACTATCAGCTGCCAACAAAGAAAATGTTTCTGTAATAACTCCAGAATCAAGTGGAGAATTAGTATTAAAATATTCTGAAGTTTCTGAAACTATCACAGGTCTAGAAAGAGAGAATTGTGATACAACTCTGCCTGAATTTATGGTGGATGTCCAAGATTTGGAAGAAAGCTCTAGTATTTTAGATGCAGGAGAGATGAAGAATTTAAAAGCTATTCAAATAGAAAATTATGCCAAATCTCTTCGTGCATTAGAATCTGGGGATGCAGCTGATCTTTCACAGTCTGGGTCTAAAGTTGAACCAAAAAGTTTAAGAAAAACAATGAGCTATGAAAGACTATTAGAAATAAAAGATCCAGTGGCTACTGCAGCGCAGCTAAAGACACCAGCATCGACATCTTCAGAATCAGTTTCTATATTGGAAGTAACTGACACTTCAAAAATCTCAGAACTCAAAACTTCTCAAACATATTTAGGAGTAAGTGATGTCAAATCTTCTGGTACAACTGCAGAGAAATATCTACTAGAAATCATTGACTCTGACTCACAAATGCAAGCAGAGAATATTTTAGAAGTAAAACATACTGAATCTTCTTCAGAAATTAAATATGGGCTACGAACACATCCATTCAAAACTGCTTCAGAATCTGAAAAAGTGACACAAGACAAAGCTTCAAAAACTATTTCAGACATATTATGTTCAGGCAGTGTGGAAAACCTGGAACAAATTTTGGAATCTAAACATAACCAGGAAGGAAAAGATTTAGACTCTCACCTGATGGCAAAAGATTTAAAAGGAGGTCTTACATATGAAGAAATAATAGGTATTTCAGAGACGACTACTCAATTTTCAAGTGTTGTGGAAGCAACAGATACGGGGTCAAATATATCATCTATAGTTCCAGAAACAGTTGAAAAATGTCCTGAAACATTTCTGGAAAATATAAATGTGTCAGATACACAAGGTACAAATACAAATGTAGAACTAGATAATTTACTAAAACAGAAGTCAACTGAAGTTACTACAGATGTCAAAAATTTAAAACCAAATTCAGAATCTAATAATGCTGTAGAATCTGTACACATGAAAGATCTGGAAGATTTTGAAGCAGTTCCTGTGTGCAAGTCTGTTGTTGAAATAAAAAACCTCCAAGTTGTACAAACATCAGGAGACAAAGAGCAAATGGATTTTCAAGAACTCTCAAAATCAGTGTTACCTTTAGACACTCAGGATTTGGAAAGAAACTCAAGTTTTCAGCTTTTGCCACAACAAAAGAACGTAGAATCATCCCTAGAACCTGTTAAAGATTTTGTATCAGTTTCTGAATGTTTAAGTGCAAAGGACATAGAACAACATTTAAAATGTGTATCTGTGGCTCAGGAATCAACTGTAGAACATGTGATACTAAGGCAAGATAAGAGTGCAGAAATAATTCCACAGTTTACTTTGGAAGTGAAAGATTCAGAAGCAACGTTAGAATCTTTATGTGTGGCAAAGAGAAAAGACGTGGGTGAAACTGCGCAGACTTCTTCAAAGGAGCAAGCAACTGTAAAACCTCCATGTATGACAGTAGAAGACAATGTAAATCAACTGGAAATAATTGTATTGGGAGGTTCAGAAGAAGCTGTAAAGCCTGTGCATTTGGCAGAGAATAAAGACATCAAAGTGGGAGAATACATTGAGGCAAAAGATTCAGTAACAGGTCTTGAATCTGAGGTTATAGTAAAGGATAAAGACTTGGAAGCTTCTCTTCAGGACTCTTCAAAATATCAAGATTCAGATGCTGCTCTGAATTCTTCAGACATAATTAAAGAAAGTGAGGGGAGTAATTTAAGAGACAAAAAAAGTGAAAAAATAAGTAGTAAAAGTAAAGATAAAAGTAAGAGTGGAAAAAAAGCAAAAAAAAGCAGATCAAAATCTCCTTCCAAGTCGAAGAAACGTAAAAAGAAGTCAAGATCGCGTTCTACCTCTAGACAAGTGTCATCAAGAAGAGCACGTTCTAGAAGCAAAAATGATTCCAGTTCCAAGAGAAAGCACTCTACTTCACGTCACAAATCTAGATCCAAATCTGTTGATAAAAAAGAAGAAAAAGAATCTTCATTAAGATCTAGACGAAGACGTTCACGGACCTCTGATCGTCTGAAATCTAGATCTAAATCTGCTGACAGAAGAGAAACTTCAATAAGATCAAGACGTAGACGGTCCAGATCTTCTGATCACAAGTCTAGATCCAGATCAGTTGACAAAAGAGAATCAGCTAGGAGAAGACGAAGGTTATCCAGGTCTTCTGATAATCGCAGATCTAGATCAAGATCAGTTGATAGAAGAGAGACTTTGACAAGATCAAGGAGGAGGCGATCCAGATCTTCTGATCGTCATAAATCTAGATCACGATCAGGTGACAAAAGAGAGACCTCTGTGAGAACAAGGCGAAGGCGGTCTCAGTCCTCTGATACTCGCAAATCTAGATCTAGATCTGTTGACAGAAGAGAGTCTTCAATAAGAACACGGAGAAGGCGATCTAGATCTTCTGATAATCACAAATCTAGGTCTAGATCTCCTGATGACAAGAGAGAGCCTTCAGTGAGGACAAGGCGGAGAAGATCAAGGACCCCTGATACTCGCAAATCTAGATCTAGATCTGTTGACAGAAGGGAAATTTCAGGGAGAGGAAGGCGAAGACGGTCAAGATCCTCTGATCATAAATCAAGATCTGTATCAGTTGACAAAAGAGAGAGTTCAGCGAGGATAAGGCGAAGGCGATCCAGATCTTCTGATAATCATCTAGATCTGTTGACAGAAGATCTAGATCTGTTGACAGAAGATCTAGATCTGTTGACAGAAGGGAAATTTCAGGGAGAGGAAGGCGAAGACGGTCAAGATCCTCTGATAATCATAAATCAAGATCTGTATCAGTTGACAAAAGAGAGAGTTCAGCGAGGATAAGGCGAAGGCGATCCAGATCTTCTGATAATCGCAGATCAAAGTCCAAATCTGTTGACAAAAGGGAGACTTCCGTGAGGATGAAACGAAGGCGGTCTGTGTCCTCTGATCGCAAATCTAGATCCAGATCTATTGATAAAAGAGAGACTTCAGCTAGGTCAAAAAGGAGACGTTCCAGGTCTTCTGATAATCACAAATCTAGATCCAAATCTGTTGAGAACATAGAAACTGCAACAAAGAGAAGGCGATCTAAGTCTACTGATCATAAATCCAGAACAAAATCAGTTGAAAAGGGGGAGCTGACCTCAAAGTCTAGACACAGACGATCTAAGTCATCAGATCGGCCAAGATCTAAATCAAAGTCCAGATCTAAATCTTCTGAAAGAAGAAAAGACAAAGACTCCTTGGATGGATCAAGAGGAAAACGATCTAAATACAGATCAAAGTCTAAGTCTCTTGAGAAAACAGATGGAACTGACTCTGTGGAAGCAACTTTGAATAATCGGGAAAAATCAGCTGAGCAGCACAAATCTAAATCTAGGTCTAGGTCTAAATCTATAGATAAAACAGGAGAGAGAGAACGCTTGAGAAGATCAAGAAGTAAAGGTTCCAAGTCCTCAGAATCTAGATCTCGTAGACGTAGAACAGTATCACGATCTAGAAGAAATCGTTCACGATCATTAACACGGAAGAGAACAACAAGATCTAAATCTGATCACCGATCACAGTCACGCTCTCGAACTCGTTCACGATCATGTTCAAGACGTTGGAGGAGGACTAGATCAAGATCAGTATCAAGACAGCGATCTTTGTCAAGGAAAAGGCGTAGACGATCTCGGAGAAATCGGTCAAGATCAACTGATAGGAGAAGAAGAAGATCTGATTCAAGAGACAGTTACAGAATATCTCTCAGGTTACGGTCCCGAAGTCGAACACCTGTCCGTCTAAGATGCTCTAGGTCTACAGGGAGAAGAAGAAGCACCAGTAAATCACCTGATCATCGACGATCTAGATCTTCAAGCAGATCACCGAAACGTCTAACTGACTTGGGTAAGCAATGTTACCTCTTGTGAGATAAAAGTAGCTTAATTATTCTGACATTCATTTAATTTTAGAAAACTTCATTTAAATGCTGTAAATATCAATATTTTTTTTACCTAGAATTTTTGTACATGTTGTTATATACTTTTATTGGTTAATGCAGAAGAAAGCAGAACACATTTTGATATTTTAAGACCATTTATGGAGTATCATGAACCAAAACTCAGTATTCTTAAATACAGTTTAAGAATGCGTTCCATTCCCAAGGTCTGTCCTTAAGTCAAATTTGTAGGTAAGCTGGAACAGTATTATTGTATAATACTGCATATAAGTAGTATTGTGTAATGAACTTGAACCATTGTGTATTTAACTTGAATCATTGTGTATTTAACTCAAATTTTGCTACAGTAGGCTCTATTCTTAACTATGAGATGTCCGTAAACTGGGCGTTCTTAACCAGGGGATTACCTGTATATGACAGTATGAAGGGAAATTTACAGGTGGCCCTCAACATTGGGTCTTTGTACTTATGGCCATTGCAGCATCCCTGTGGTAATGTGATTGTGATCTGGGTGCCTGGCTTGTGATTACAACATTGTAGCATCCCACAGTCACATGATTGCCATTTGTGACCTTCTTTGCTGGATTCCTACAAGCAAAGTCAGTGGGGAAGCCAGCAGAAGATTGTAAATGGCGACCACATAATATCCTTGCTTAATAACCTGCAGTGATTCACTTAATAATGGCAACCTGGAGTGTCAGAATTTCCACTGCTAAACAGCACGGTAACGGGACATTGCACTTTACAACCGCATTGCTTTGTGGTGGAAATTCCAGTCCCAATTGCCATCATTAAATGAGGACTACCTGTACTCTGCTTTGTAATTTTGAATTATCTGTGTAGTAGCCAAGTTCTGTATAGCCTCAACAAAACATCAGTGATATACAACTAAGTATTGTTCTTGACTGAGAATTGCTCTTGGCCATGTGTTTTTGTAAATTGTTAATCATTAGATTCTTCTGATGATCAGTAAAGTCTCAAAATTCTTGTAATAAAGGAATGAGATGGTAAATCTTGCTGAAAAAGGGGTGAAAGACAATAGTCAGTAACTGAACACCTAGACTTAATTGGCTTCTTGGGTGGGTGGGAACACTAGAGCAGATATTTGGAAAGAGGTACATAAATTTCCAAGTTTCAGACCAGCACTAAAAATCTGAATATACTTTTCCCCTGTAGACTTTTCATCTTTTTTAAAGTTTATTGGGGCAGGATAAGCCAAAGGATAGGGAAGTAGATATTAGCAAAAATTGTATTACCTCTTCATAAAACTATTCCATGAAAAGAGTTCCATTTCTGGGTAACTGGATCCAACTTCATATGTACCAAGATGTTCATATCTTGATTCAGCTTCAGTATATGTTGAAAAGTATGTGTTCATAATTTTGTGTCTTCTGGTGTAATTTACCTTATTTTGAGGTAAATTTTACCTTACCTTTATTTGGGCCTTTTTATTTAAAAACATTTTGTAATAAAGTTGGACACTTGCAAAATCCTGTGGAAGAACTGATTGTTACTGATTAATTAATCAAAATATACTGATTCAATTTTTATGTTAAAAGAAATGTTCAGTGTAGCTTATGGATTAATCAGCTTCTTAAAAAAGTAACAGATTACAAGGTACACAAGAAAATGAGAAGAAGGAGTAAATAACACTGGCAAGATTAAAGTTCAGAGTGCAAGGGAAAATGGGCTATCCCGGGAAGTGAGTTCCAAAGTTTAGATATGGTCCTGTTTTGCATTGCATCCATATGCAAGTCGATGCTGTTGGTATTTGGAGTAAAATATCCTAGATGACCAGAAAGGGTGGGAAGACTTACAAGACAGAAGGTAATTAATTAATTACTAATATGAATTCTATGTTCCTGATAACCACCCCCAGCCAACATCCTGCCTTCAAAATTCTTGACTTAGCTGGTGTCACATTGTCTTTTGTTCTGCTTTAACTGAACACCTAGACTTAATTGGCTTCTTGGGTGGGTGGGAACACTAGAGCAGATATTTGGAAAGAGGTACATAAATTTCCAAGTTTCAGACCAGCACTAAAAATCTAAGTATGTACCATGAGACTGACACAATATCTATAAATAAATAATTTCCTTTTCCTTGTAGATAAGGCACAATTACTTGAAATAGCCAAGGCAAATGCAGCAGCAATGTGTGCCAAGGCTGGTGTTCCACTCCCACCAAGTCTGATGCCTGTTATAACTCCAGAGAAGAAGGAAGAGAAAGTTACCCAAAAGTCAGCAAAAGAGACAATATTGGAATTGACTGAGGTAAGAGAAACAAAATGAAATATATGTATGAAAACTAGCTAGAGGTGTGCCAAAGTCTCAAATTTGAACTCTCAAATTTGAAACATCCCATTCAGAATTCGAAACACTTAATTCAAGTGCAAAACAGTTATTTTGAATATAAAATGGTGGTTTTCTCAGACAGTTCCAAAATAATTGAAACAGGGCATCATGAATTTGAAATAGTTCACATATGAAATGCTCTGCATTCTATCTTACTACTAATTTAATAAAAACAATTCATGCTACATTTACTTTTCAAGATTAAAAAATCCTGTTTGAAAAACATTACATCTAGTATAAGACACACATGTGAAACTGGAATTGAGTTTGGATTTATTACTTGATTTACATATGGATGTATGTGCCTTTGAGTCAGTGTTGACTCCTGGCGACTGCCTGGACAAGTCCCTGAAGTTTTCTTTGCAAGGTTTTTTGAAGTGGTTTGTCATTGCCTCCTTCCTAGGGCTGAGAGAGAGTGACTGGCCCAAGGGCACCAACCTGGCTTTGTGCCTAAGGCAGGACTAGAACTCAGGATCTCTCACTTTCTAGCCTGGTGCCTTAACCACTAGAACAAACTGGCTCTTTACCTGATAGGAATAATACAACTGCTTTGTTCTTTACCTGAGATGAAGTTATGCCTCCCTGAATTTTAGAAGTAAACTAGTTAGCTCTCAAACAGATTTACTAGGCTGCCATCTGGCTTCATAACTTTAAATGGCAATAAGAGTGGGTTCTGTTACATTGTTCTAGTGGATGTTTGCTCTCTGATAAAAAATGGTTGTCAGGAACTAGCCCTTTAACTGTTACCATTGTCATGTTTTAGAAAACGCCATTATGTACATTTATCTCCCCAATCCTTCAATCATTCTTATTACATTATATACTATATAATGTTGACTTTATTTTCAGAAATGCAAGAAGATTGCCCAAAGCCAGGAAGATGATGTCATTGTGAATAAGCCTCATGTTTCTGATGAAGAAGAAGAGGAACATCCTTTTATCAACCATCCCTTTAAGCTCAATGAGCCCAAACCTATTTTTTTCAACTTAACTGTAAGTATTGTAAAACCACTTGTAGATATATTTTATTTCATTTAAGTACTTTTACAAAATCTTTAACTGACAAGGGAAAAACATGAGTATAATGTTCTATCACTAATTGCAGAGAAATTCTAACAGTGTTAACAATGCTTGAAATAAGCTATAGCTAGCCATTTAGGCATACTGTGGGTTTGGAAATGTTTGTAAAAGTTTTTAATAGCAAAACATATATAAGGGGTGGAAAGGTAGAGAGTACATTCCTCCCTACAGATTACTGAGTATTTAGACAACACGCAGTAATACATTTACACTACTGAAACAGCAGTGCACATTTGATTTGTTTCATGTAATTGATGGAACAGCTTTTAGCAGAATGGGAAAGTGGAATGATTCCTAATACTCATGTGAGTCCCAGATTCCTCAAAAGTAGCTTTAGAAATTTGGGAAATCCTCTGGAATGGAAGTTAGCTGGATTAAGGAAAGTTCTGTTGTAAAAATTAAAACTCTGCTTGTATGAGATTGCATTTTACTTTATGCTGTATTACAAGGTTTACATATTGGTGAGCAGGGTAAAATAAGGAGTTTAACCAACTCAATTTAAAATATTTTGATGGAAACCTAGAGAAACTGTTTAATATCATTTCAAAGTTTTTTTAAATGCTTTTTATTAGAGATTTTAACAATAGTAAAAGGTAATAGAAATCAAAAAGGAAGAAAAGAAAAATGAAAAGTGGAGAAAGAAAAAGAAAAAAAGAAAACAAAAAAAATATTTAAAGAAGTGACTTCCAATCTTCTTTACAAGTATAAGCAAACTTAGTATTTCTCTACCTCCTTTGATATTATGTTACATAAATCAGTTCTTCCCATATCCCAACCCTTACCCATCCACAAATCCAAAAATCATTGAACATTTCTGTTCAGGATCAGCAAAAAAGTCAATAAAGGGTACCCACAACTTTATAAAAATATTCCTTATTTTAACCCTGATGAAACAGGTTATCTTTAAATTCCTTTCTTTTGCTCCATCTTTACTTCATTAAAATGCTGTCATAGGATCTGATCTCCATCCAAATTTTCTTCCTCCCATCTCTGGAGTTTCTTCATGGCTTTAACAACCCTTTTTTGTAAATCCAATAATGAGTCATTACTCAGACCATTTTTCATCTCTAGTCATTTGTATTTCCACTTTAGTTTTCATCTGTCTATTTGTCCATGACTTCTATTTTATTTTCCGATATTTCTGCATAGGTTAGGATTTGTTTTACCTCTTCATCCTGTTGGTCTGTAAATTCTTCCAAATTATTCTCCTATGCATCTTCCATTTCTTCTTTAAAATCTTTTTTGAATAATACATTCAACATAGGCAGATGTTGTTGCTGTCATAGTAGCTGTGAGCTTCTTTCCCATTTCTTCAAAAATCCTTTGAAGTGTCTCCAATGTAATATCTTTATCTGTTATTTTTACAGGTGTCACTGCTAATCATCAAATTCAAAAGTAAAAAACATGTTTTTCTTTTTCCCTCTGCCTGGGGTCTTTAGCCCCCTCTAGTGTCTCATTTCTGTATCACATTGTCTCAATTTTTTTTTTGCTGCTTTGTTTTAAAAAAACCAGCCTATTATCTCTTTCCTGAAAGACTAAACAATTTCTGTTCCCACTAACATACTGTTTTGTTTTTAATTATTTCAAAAGTCTTATAGAAAAAGTCATAATATTTCAAATATTATGTCAAATATTTCGAAGTTGTCTGGTCCCTTAGTTTGTTTCAAATTTTCTTAGATTAAATTCTTATCTAGCTTTTTGCTATTCTCTTTGTATCTTTAAATGGTTAATTAATTTTTCCCTTCTTTCTGGAATGAAGGATCACTCACCAGGTAGTTTTTCAAACTTGTTGCTTGGAAGACCTCTTTTAACTTTAAAATGGTTATATTCCTAGTGAGATGGGTGGTGACCAAATTTGAAATATAAATATAAATATAAATAAAAAATATTCCAAAAGTGTTTAGAAAGTGAGGCTTGATGAACCCAGTGTCCATATAGGCTCCGCTGCAGTTGAGAGCTTGATGGCTTCCCTTGTCTCCCAGCAGTCAGACCCACGAGTTGACCACTGTCCTGCAGTTTCCTCACGAGGAACAGCCATCTGGAGCACAAGTGGGTGATCTCTTATCCTCTCCTTATCTGGAGGGATTCTGTTGGAATGGACTTGTCATCGGTCCATCAGTCTTGGCCTCAGTGTCATCTCCGCTCCTTTGGAGATGTCTTAGCTTGCCATTCCCTCACTTGAAAGTCATTGAGTATTGTTTCAAAGTCTTCTGAATAGAAATCTTTTATATACTATGCTCTGAGATCTACGTAAGTGCTGTAAGTGGAGAAGGAAAGCTGCCAGGCAGCCAAGGAATTAAGCCAGCCAACCTCAAGAATATCATCCAAATGACCATTGCTTCATTACCCCCAAAAAATTAGTAGCATAATTAATATGCATAAACAATAGCATAATTAATATGCATTACATTATGACCTACCATGATTTTTTCAATAAACTACTGCTATAAATATTTAGAATGGATCAAGACCTGTGTGCCTTTGTCTGTAATGTCTTGTTTTCATAACATGGATGGCAAATACTTGGAGAGGACCTTATTTCCTATAGTAATAAATATATATTATATAGATTTTCCTTTTGTAGAAGTCTTCTCATGAGATAGTTTAATGGAAAAAGGGAAAGGAGGCAGTTTTTCTGTCTCCTTCCAAGGATCTGGTAGTTCTTGAAGCTGGTTTTCAGATACTGCATCTAGATATATTGAAAATAACATTGTTTCCTCCACTCAGACTTTTTTCTGAATCAGAAATTGTTCCACAAAACTGATGGGGAATGAATTCAAATATTCCCTTCAATCTCACTGCTTTTTTTTCCTGCTTTTGAAACACTTATTTAAAAATCATTTTTATTTTGCTTTGTATCATAGAGTTTGGAATGACACATGTAATGGTATATGGGAAAGACCTTAGGAGGCAGGGCATAGAGATACTGCCAAGGGAATGGTCACATAAGAAACAGCATAGCCCGCAACTGGATAATGGGCGGAGCAAGAGGCTTAGAAGAGAACGTCCCTAGTTTCTCAGGCTGTAAAGGATCTGGGGGTGGGGGATTGTACTTTCAGACTTGCAAGATTCTGTCAGTGTAGCTTTACAATAAAGTAGAATTAGCTCATCTGGTTGTGAATCCTGTGTGGTATACTCCGTGAGGCCAACAACACATTACACATATTAGTTGTGATGATAGTAAATGAGAAAAATGTGATAAAATTACCTGGATTCTAAAACTTCAACGTTGGAAACATGGTTTGTTGCTTATTCAGTTTGGCACAGATGTTTTGCTAACGCAATGCTAGGAATTCACTCATAATATATGTGTGTATGTAGTATGTGTGCTCATAATTGTAATAGTCTATTTATTTATTATTTTCTCCCCCCCGCTTAAGACTCCTACAATAAAACCAGCAGCTCCAAAAAATCAGGTAACTTTGACAAAAGAGTTCCCAGTTTCTTCAGGATCTCAGCACAGGAAAAAAGAAGCAGATAGTGCATATGGAGAATGGGTTCCAGTTGAAAAGAACAAGGATGAGAACAAAGATGATGTGTTTCCCAATCCAGCCAATCTGGAGGTAAAAAGCTGCAAGAAATCGGAGATACTGGCTTTGAGTCCTTAAATGTATAGACTTTAGACTATAATCCAATGTGCAAGCTGAACAATTCTCAATTAAGTAAATAGCTTTTTGTGCTGTTTTTAGACTGATTCCCATATTCCAGTCAGGTTGTCCTTCCTTTCCAGGGGAAGATTGGAATATAAATTCAATTTTAGAAAATGTATACATTTATAAATAAGATAAAGTAATAATCCCAATACAATAATCTGATAATTAGAATAGGTTTAGGCTACATGTTATGTTGATAATTATTTATATTACTATTATTTTATTTATATCATTTATTTATGGTATTTTCAGTATTAAATTGTTCATTTCTCAAAAACAATTTACTTCTATATTTAAATCATAACTCTAATACTAGCAAAAATGTATTCAAAAAATACAAATCCCAAGTACACATGCTTGCTTTTAAGGACCTGGAGATTTGTATTAGTTTTTCATATATAATGTGGAGTCTAAGGTACGCACCTTGTCTTTTTGTGGTCCAAATGTTGAGACATATTAAACCTGTGGAATCCCTGTTTGTGAGAAGTTTGAAACAGTCAAGGGTGAAAGATAATTTTAACTCTTAGTGCAACACTGTTTCCAAGTGTAGTATGTCAATCTTCAACTGCTTTCACCCCAGGTACAAGTGTAGCACTAATGGAATTTTTTTTATAGCAAAAGAAATTGCACTGATGGGCCCATTAGGATTATTGTGCCTTTTATTCTGTGTTTACATGTTCTGAACATGTATTAAAGATATTATATTGGCTTGTAATTAGATAAATGTTCACATTCCTCTATAGAGAATGTTTACTTATGCACATAGAGAAAAGATAATATTTTTACTATTTTTTTAGCCTGTGGACATCTCATCAGCATTGAATGAACGGACTATAGCCCAAAAGAGGCTTACAGAAAATACGTTTGATCTCGAGGCGATGTGCTTGTTAAATCGTGCACAAGAACGGGCAAGTTACATCTTCTTTCTGTCTCCCAAATTGTTCTTGAAAGTGTTATGAAAACTGAGGAAAGTAAAATCTTATTAGTTTTGCATGTTTCTGGCAGTATTAATTTTAGAATTTTAAATTTCTTTAAAGCTTTGACATTTACATGCACACATACATACATACCCATGGAGTTGTTTCCTTAGGATAAGTAATATGCAAAACACAGAGAAAACAAGAATTAATAAGCAGAATTAAAAGGAGATAAGAGGAAATCTAGTTTATACCTAGATCTTTCTATCTCTCCATGCCTTTCTATCCTTGCAAATCATCCTTTCTTTCACCATATAAATATACTGATTCATAATTGCTTTTGTTTTTAAACTTCTCACTTCTTTTTTGAGTTTTCTTAAAAAAACGTTTTCTTACTGAATCCAACCTCAATTTCCTTGATCTTCCCCTTCTTCCCAACTCAATTACTCTTGCTTCACTTGTTTGTTTTGCATTTTGGTCCTCATTCATTTTGTCAACATGACCAGAACACCTGTACTTCTTTCATACTGTTCATTCAGTTCTGTATTCAATCCATATTCATTCATGCTTCATTCATTCTTAACCCTAGCTCTTTTTTTTACCACACATACTTCTTAAGTAGCACATTCCCACTGCATTCAACTTTTTAATGTTTCTCCTGATACACCCAACTCTAATGTCCGGTTAATGAAGTGGTAAGGTACAGACTAATAATGCAGCCACTTTCACTTCATTGCATTCATTCCTTGCAGTAGGGTTAATACAATCCACTACCTTTCTACTCATGTTGGTACATTTTAAAATTTCACTATCCATTTCTCTATCTTCAGTTAACAGTCTATCAAGGTTCATTTTTTTTCTCCAATTTTCTACCAGTTATGTGTAACGTGCAGTCATTTATTTTCTCTGTGGAATACAAATACCTTGGACATTAATTCTTGGATAGGTGTTCTTAGTTGCATCATACAGTATAGCTGACATTATGTGCAAATCTTTGGATTCTCAGCAAACAAGATAGCATTATCTGCATACAAAAATACACATTCATGCCCCAAACCAGTGCACCCCTAACATCACAAGTACTTTTAATCCATTTATCCATAAATATATTAAATAACACATCCTTAACTTACTCCCTAGTCATTTTTGAACCATTTGGTAAGTATTCCATATGTTCTTGTGCATTCAGCCACCCAATTTTAACTCAGTGTTCATGCAAAGCAATTCCATAATTATCACTTTAATACAGGTAGTCCTTGGTTAATGACAGTAATTGGGACTGGAATTTTGGTCACTAAGCAACATGGTCATAAAGCTCAATATCATGTGGCCGTGCTGCTTAGTGATGGCACTTCCGCTTGCCATTGTTAAGTGATTCCCATGCGATCTTTAAGTGTGATATCACATGGTTGCCGTTTGCAACCTCCTGCTGGCTTCCCCATTGCTTGTTGGAAGCCAGCAGGGAAGATCACAAATGGCAATCACACGACCATGGGATGCTGTAGTGTAATTGCGAGCTGGTCGCCAAGCGCCCGGATTGTGATCACATGACCGCAGGAATGCTGCAACGGCCAGAACTTTGAGGACTGGTTGTAAGTACCACTTGTTCAGTGCTGTCATAACTTTGAACAGTCGCTGAACGAGTGGTTGTTAAACGAGGACCACCTGTATATATTTTCTCTGAGTCATAAAATGTGGAATAAACTTTCTTGGCCCGAATACCCTTCCTGCCTGATGTAAAGTTACAGTCACCTTGTGTCAGGTGTTGATGTTTCTTTTGGCAGTTTTAATTCCAAATTCTATTTTGTTTTAGTTCAACATTTCTCATGATATAATCTGCATATAAATTAAATCAGATGACAATATACAACTGTGGTTCTTAAACTGGGGGTAATTACTCCCAAGTGGGTAATTTGGGCATATCCTGGGGATAATGGAGCAACTTGTAATTGCTTGTTTGTGAGTTGAGGATCTATTTTAGGACTGCCACTCCCAGCACACTTGTGTAAAACAACAGCTTCTGTTTTTTCGAGTCTGAGAAAGTGGGTAATTCAGTCAAACAGAATGTAAGAATCACTGGAATACAACCTTGGCACACTCCTTTCTCAGTTTTGAACCATTTAATTGCTCCATACTCAATTCTAATTGTTGCTTCCTGGTAGCCTTACAAATTCTTCAGTAGGCAAATGAGGTGGCCTAGTGAGTCCATGTTTTTAAGGACCGTCGATAGTTTGTTGTGGCATAGGTAGTCAGAAGCCTTAGGAAATAGTAAGATAGGACCATGCTCTAAAGTACAGAGTAACACTGTTCATGTCTAAATAAAGAGCTAATTTTATGCAACCTTTGGAAAGTTCTGAGGGATTTTTTCCCTTAGAGAAGAATATAGTTCCATTGCTCTTCAGATATTAATAACCTTTAAATGCTGAAATAATGGTAACTCTTGAAGACATTTTTTCAGAAAGTATTATTTTAAATTATTTTGAAATGAAATGTATCAAGTCTTAAATTGATACAGCAGGAGGCACTAAAACAAGCAAGTTATTCTGATATATTTTTAGTGTTTGGAAATGTTTTAATTAATTAATTATGCTCCTTTGTGATTGCAGATTGATGCCTGGGCTGAGCTGAATTCTATACCAGGCCATTTTACGGGGAGTACTGGAGCACAGGTCTTGTCTTCTGAACAGTTATCCAACAGCGGTCCCCAAGCATGGGTTAAAAAGGTAGATGATATTCAGACAGATGAGTCCAAATATCACATTTTAAATTCCTTTGAAATGACTGGAAGAAGTGACACTGATGCACTTAGGACATTAATAACATCCTAAAATATATGCAGAAAAATAAACTGAAAACATTTATTTTTGTCTTCTGTCAAGATGTGTTTTGGATTCTGAATCTACTATGCCTAATAGTTCTGTGTTAATACTAGTTCGATAGGCGGACTTTAGAAACTGGGAGACTGATATGTGCTCACTTGTTTAGAAATAACTGTTTTAATTTCTCCCAAGGTTACTGTTATTTTGTGCTGAAATTGTCTTGAAATATGGTTCCAATTGAATGGGCTTTTCTATTACTTACATAGTTTAAGTTCAGTCTTGATACTGATTTCAGTAAAACTTGGATAGGAGTTCACTTAATGGTCCCTATGGCTGTAAAAATTCACTTGCTTGCTTCTGTTGTGCACGTCTTTGAAACTGGAGAATTAGAAGTTGGCCAAACTCTGGCTGGAGCTAACAGTATTCTTGGCTCTTAGGAGAGGATTCTAGGATTTCCTAGACTGCAAGGCAACATGAAAAGATTATTATTATTGTCATTATCATTATTAAATCCTAAGAAAGGAAAATAATTGTCCATACTTGATGGGAATATCAGCAGGAGCCAAGTTGTTGAGATTGGGCAGATAGGCTTTGCAAAGAGGACAGCAGGTTTTTTTTTTTGTCTGCAGAACTTCTGCGTATATTAACAGGGCAGTGGCAAAGCTGAACACACATATTTACTTGCATTTATTAGTTGGGTCAGAAATAATGCAAAGATAATAAAAATAAAGACTGCTTGGGTAGTTTTCACAATTGAGGTTTATAAGATCGATCCTGACCCGCTCATAGAATCTGTGATGTATCTGCTGTTTCTATAACTGAAAACATAAAGTAGCTTAAAGCTTGTAGGAATTATAGCTTGAGAATGTACAGTTTTGGAAGGTCCAAAAGATCCTATATAGTGAGACTGTATGCTTGGCAAGTACATTTTTACAGTCAGAATAAACAGTTTTTCATATTTCCATTATGTTCACTGATCTGTCAGAATTAATTTTATGATTTTCTAATTCTGATTGGTTTTTTTCAAAGCCCTGTTACTTGGAGCCAGCTGGTTTGAAAATATGTTGTAGTTGAATCAGCGCATCTAGATACAGTAACCAGAGTTTTATATTTGTGTTTTGTTGATAAAATGTATTATATACTTTTACACTTTTGTAATTAAAGTATATGGGAAATACTGTAAATACATTATGTGTAAATATTTCCTGGTGAAAGGGTTTTCTCTGTGAAATAAAAATGGAGAATTGTTGGTAATTATGAACTTACAGCAGCCATTTAGCAAAGATTTCACTGAAGCTTCCATTATATGCTTGGTATTCATCACCTATGTACAGTTCACAAAAAAGGCCATACTTCCTATAGTGTAATTGGCAGAGTATCTATTTGGTACATGCTAACTATTTTAATGAAATCTGACAAAAATGGAAAAATCTTGAATCATGACATCCTAAAAATTAGAAGATTTTGCAATAACTTTGTTTTCCTTGTTTTTCACTTTTCACAAGACGCCTGGGTGACACATCTAGGGGTATATCTTTTTTTAAGCAGTGAACATTTTGTAACTATTAGCTCTTCCCAACTGTTTAAAATTGCTGTTGACTGACTGAGGACTGTGCAAATAGCTATTCTTCACAGACAGTTGAAGCTTTGAAATTAATATATGTAGTGTAAGATGTAGCTGGTACTGCTTCTGTTTTTTAGGGTTCTAATATAGGAGAAATTGCCTGTTGATTTTCCTAAGACAAGCATTTTGTTCAGGTCTCTTACACCTATAATGATCATTACATTATAAGTTTTAGATTATAAAGGTCTGTCTCTTGTAAATCAGTTTGTTAGGGGAATCATAGACAATGTTGCTTTTCCCCTTCACCTCCTACAAGTCTCAGGCAATTAGTCATTACTTGATTAGAGTAGTTATTGGAGGCCTGGAACATAGAGTGGGTAGCACCCTACTGGTAATTTTTTATCAAAAGAGTTGAATGTATACATAGATGGAGATGAAGCTCTTGCAGTTCTGTTTTGTGAATTGATGTAGTTTGTATTGTGTGATTTCTATCGCCTTTGGTATGAAGAATAGTTGGGTAGAAGATTTCTCAGAGATTTGTGAGGTTAGACTGTTGAGCTTTTTGACTGTCTATGGCACTGTATGTCCACATTTTCACTCAAATTCAGAGGGCTATATACATAAGAAATTAACTCCATATTATTGGAGCTGTCTTCTTATAATGATGATGATTTTTCCAATGAATAAGCAAGCCAAAAGCACCTTGAAGCAGTAAATTTTAGGTTTTGTTGAGCTTATAATATCCCTAAACATTCTTCATGTGAGAGTTGTCAACTGTATTTCCAGGAATTGTTAGTTTCTTATTCAAAATTTGGATGTGTGAATGAAGCAAGGAAGGATATAAAGATCTATACAAAATCTTATATACAACCTGTATGCAGTATAGAATTCCTGAATGAAAAGCCTTTCTTACAACACTTCAAGTTAGTTGCCATGATACTCCTTCTTGCAAATAAGACCCTTTGAACTCAGGAGGACTTGAATGTTGTATATGATTGGGCTGTTAATTTTTTTGCAAGTGAAACCATATGAAAAGCAAATTAATTCACCATTATTAAACATAATAAATATTCATGGTTTTAAGAAAACAATAATTGGGTTATGCCAGTTGACTCTGGTGAATTAATTAAGCAATCTGGAGTAGTAATGGTGATTTGTTTGAGAAGTGAAATGTTAAGTCTGCATTGTATTAAGCTTTTTTTAACCTACATTGAAATTCAATAATCACTTAAAAATAAGAGGATATGCAGAGGGTTATGTTTGTTAATGTGTTGTATGTTGTAGAAAGCAAGCCACTTTTTAAAAACATTGGCAATTTGTGTTTGATTTTGTTTTTATTTGCTTGAGTTTGAAGCAATGTGATTTAAAATGTTTGGGCATTAGGGTTTTGATATTTTTAAAGGAAGAACAACTTTAGTCTGTTTGCATTATCATCAATGATGTAATCAGTTCACAAATACAAAAATATTAAATTCTTCACAGTACATGTGCAACACATTTATTTTTTAAGCCTTATTTATTTGCTTTTTGGTTTACATATACGGTGATTTCTTGAAGGGGATATTTGTTCAATATTAGGCCAAACTTTAAAGAACACAATACCAGTTGTCCAGTGGAGATTGGTATCTCAGATTACAGTCCATGCTGCACAGTATTTTTCAGGTTTACTTGCTAAGTAAGCATGTTTAGGATCACAGCCTTAATTTCATATTTAAACTGTATCTTGCCTGAATTTCAAATAGTGCCATTGACATACTATTATCAAAAATAGTCTTTTAGTCTATACTGGTAACCAAATGCATATTGTCAGTTATTCCCTACTCCAAAGAGAAAACTCAAGATACAGAAAGTTTATAATTACTTTTTTCCGGTATCCTTCTCACCAACCAAGAAAGATGTTAGACTGTTCTTATGAAGGAAAATGGGATAAGCATGATATATTTAGGAGGACAGATAGTGATTAGTGTTTTAAGGGATTATTACTAGGTTGAGTGCTGAAGCTGAATAAGCGAGTGTTTGGATGTTGAGTTCCTTGGATGTTCTGAATGCTGTGCTCTTCTGAAGCTTCCCCTGTCCCAGTACTCTGTCCCCCTTCAGGACCTAGATTTCATCTGGAGGGCCTGACAGCGCTGATCTTACACGATTGCTGCAATGAACAGGAAACCTGCTACCAGGAGTGCCCAGGTGAAAAATGTATAGGAGAAAGCGTAGTGCTTCATGATGGTATGCTATAATAATGATCTTCCCTTACTTCAGAAATCAGTGCCTGCCAATATTACTGTCTCCTGAGAGCAATGCAAGATCCTCCAACAAAGTAAGCATTTGTGTAATAACAAACAAGACAGTCGGGGAGGGGGCACTTCAGAGCAGGATTGGTGTATAGCTTTCTCAGTTTTGCAAAGGATGGAACCCTGCTAATTTTGGACCTTCTCAGGAGGCTTAGACCAAGTTCTGATGACACTGCTGTATTAAATCAGTATAATAATAAAAATGTTTTGGGAACAACACCTTTATTTTACCTGCAAGTTAAAAGCAGACAAGAATATAATTAGTGATTTCATCTAAGGGCTAATGTGTTCTCTCATGGAAGTAATAATCTGATTTCTGTGGATAATATCTGTAGAGCAAGGCTTCTTATCTCTACAGAAACATTTTTAGAAGCATATGATCTACCTTTTAGCATTCTGGAAGCATTTTTCAGTGGTATATTCCTGACATTGTGGACACTGTGGCTACAGAATACAGATTAGAAAAAATAGATTGTCTGCTCTGAATTCAGATACCAGAATATATTTGGATATATGGTATACTGGATATATTTCCAGTAATTGGAAAGTAGAATTTCAGTTCCATGTGCAGTTTCTTTTTCTATACTATTACGATCCTTTATCATCTTAGTAGCCTTGATATTCTAATATTAGCATTCAAATATGACAAAATACTATGCACATACATGCACAAACACACATGGCAGTTTCAGCAATGAATGAGTTTTTGCGATACCCAATGCAGTGTCCATCCACATCACTTTTTTCTCATTCCACTGTTGCTCCTTTTCTAGTGTATTGCTGTTACCCCTTAGCTATGAGTATAGGTATAAAGGCACTCTGGCAACTTTACTCTCCCCCTCCCCAAATCATATTATGTTTGTGTCCATTTAGAAGTAAATGTCATGAAGATCACAGTCTTTTACATATGGCCATAAGAAATGTTGCTTACTGTATGTGAGAAATATTGGTTTGGTACAATATTCTTTAAAAGACACTGGTTTAAGTAAAGTTTAACTTGTAAAGTAATTACAAACTTTGCAGATATAGTCAGTGGCAGACGTGGTCTGTTCACTGTAGTCCGTTCTGTGTTTTTCTTATAGGTATTCACCCTTGCACCCAGGATTGGGTCTTGGCGTTCCTATTTGTGTGGGCTTTTCTTGGCATTGAATGAATCTGGTAAATTGTAATTTCTTACCTCTTTGGTTCCTAACTATCCCTGCTCCAGTCTGAATATCATTTTTTTTTCATTACAGTGGTGTTGAATACTTCCGCTATCAGAAGTTCTTACTGCTAGATGTTCTTTATTAGATTTCATTTGCTTGTCCTGTAAACTGATTGTAGACCAGTCAGCCTTTTTCTCCAATAGGAGGAAGAAATGGCTTGCTCTAGTTAGTGACAAGAGATTTACTACTTCACTAAGTCTTGTTTAACATAGGGAGATTTAAAGAATCACAAATGAGAAGTTGCCATAGAAGCAATACAGTATCAGAACAAAACATATACAATTCAAATTTTAAAACATTTTACATGTTTTCCATGTCATTTATTGACTTTATAGTTGTCTAGTTCAGTGATAACCAATCTTGACTTACTGTACCTTTGTACTGGGCAATATAATAATAGTGTTTTTGATTTAGTTCCTCCCATGCTGTGAAATAACAGTCCAAATGTAATGTTATTTCAAGTACTTGTTCAGCTTTCAGATAGTGCTTGTTTAGCATTGCAAATAAAATATGAGTATTACATTTATATACTTAACAGCTGTTTTATTTTAGCCATATCAGTTTTTACAGGTCAAATGCTTTCCAGAGCAAGATAATATGTGCAAGCTGGAATAGATAGGTCTTGTTTAACACATCTGGAGGGTGTGAGGCAGGAAATAACTCACATAATTTTCTCATGTAGATGAATCAGAGTGCTTTGTATTTGACATGAACTACTGTTAGATGTAATTTGTTGGGTTATAAAGGCTTGCGTAGATAATCCATAACTCGTGAATTAGAATGGCTGTGGTGTGTTTGACAAGGAGTTGTAAAGTGCAATCCAAGAACAACAAAATAAATGTTGAGATTCCTTTAGAATCCATAATGCTTCAGTACATAATTAAGCATTGATTCACTGGTATTTATTTATAGATAAAATCTAGAATTTTAGGCTGAGACTGTTCTTTTTCCACTGGACTTTGGCACATGTACCTTCCTTTGGGTTCTGTCATTAAATTCTACAACTGGATAAGTGATATAATCAACTTCATGAGCAATTAGAAAATGGAATGACTTCTTTCAAAAAATGTTGTTGTACTGTACTTCAGTTTTAAAAAAATCACCAAGTTATATCTCACCTTTCTAGAAGAAAAAAAAAAGACTGCTCAGGATTGTGCTCACCTGCTTTAAAAAAAAAAGGCTTATTTTTATTTTGCCCCAAATAATTAGGAAAGTGTCTGATAAATTCTTGCAACCTCAAAGACCTTACCAAATAGTAGGTCTCTGTCATTTTTGTGAACTGGATACACATTGGTGATGAAACAGACATTGTTGATGAACATTCTATCATTGCAAAGCAGGTACAAAAGAGGAGTCGGAGCCCTGGGTGACATTGACTGGGGTTTGTATCATTCTCTGCATGGTTGCCCTTTTCTAATGAGAGGTTCGTGGAAAGGAGAGGGGAGGATGAAAATGGAAGTAAGTAAAAGCCATTCTAGAGGTGTATCAACTCGAAGCAGTTGGTAACTGGCATCAGCTAACATGTTTCTGTGTACACAAACTGCATGGCTTGCACCAGTCAAACTGTTTCTGTGAGAGGTAATGTCTGCCTCATTTAGCCTTTTCTTACGTAAGAACACCTTTTCAAAAGTAATGTTCATTTGCATGGAATACAGACATCTATTTAATTATATTATATGGACTGATTTAATACTTGAGGAACTCATGTTACATACGTTATTGGAATCACTACAGTTTGCTTTCTTAACAGGGATACAGAGATTAGTATTGCGGTGTGCGTGCGTATGTCATAATTTTCTGTGCTGAAGAACAAATCCATTTGCTGTACATTCAATTTGCTTTCAGTGCCTATTTTCAGTCACTGAAATGTAGACTGAAACCAAAGGGGTTTCTATGTATAGTTTGGTACCTTAAGATTTAAAATTTATGTGATAACATTACACACACAGACACATAAATATATGTATGTACTTATATGTTTGTGTGTGTATATACACATACATCTACACAAGCAGTTTGTTGTGTTGGGTCCTTGGGTGGGGCAGAAAGAGAGATGATAGTTCACAGAATAGCCTGTGAACTTTCACCCCTCTATATGGAAACTTGTTTCAGGGCCAAATCTGCCTTGTAGCTGCCTTCTTGCCACGGTCAATGCCAGCCCTACTATTCACAACACTGCGGCCATCGAGGCCTAGGTACGTAAACGTTTAAGGAGTTTTTAAAGTACTATAAAGCAGAAAGCATTTTAGTACAGTTGATACTCTCACTAATATTATGACTTTTATGGTTTTCAAAACATTTGTCATGTGCTACTGTTGAACTGTATGGCTTAAGTTTTTTTTCTTTTAAAGATGCTTCTATCATGCATGAGGAGTTTTGGGAGGGAATTGGTTTTCAAAGGCCCAGATTGTTTCTGAAAATGTAGTTGGTAAAGGAGTATGTTTTACTCAGTAAGTAGTATATTTATACAAATATTTCTCATTAAACATATGATATTGCCTCTTTACACAAAATGAAAAGAGACTGAATGGAGCCCCAGTAATAAAGTAAAAATTCTTTTAAACTGCAGTGTAAACAGTGAATAATATAAGCTTTTGCTTGTTTTAATTATACATTTAATTTAAAACAGTCCATTGACGTTTTTCTAGATGAATGCAAGAGGATATGCATATAATTTGAAATCTGAGTTGAATTGTAACTAAAATATAAGTTGAAATAAGTGAACTCATTGCTAAAAATATTAGAAGGGTCTCTAATTTTTCTAAAAGAGTGTTAAACAAAGGTGTTTTTTTTTCCCCTTTTTTTCCCCTTTGGGTAGGATCAGTTTCTCAGAGCTGCCCCTGTTACTGGAGGAATGGGAGCCCAACTCATGAGAAAGATGGGATGGAGAGAAGGAGAAGGCTTGGGAAAAAACAAAGAAGGAAACAAGGAGCCTATTTTAGTTGATTTTAAAACTGATCGGAAGGGTGAGTGTCCAATTCAGTAATATTAACAATCAGCTGCTCTTTGAAACAATTGTCTTGACTGCTTTTCTAAAACCCATCAGGGAGGATGCCATCCAAATTTCTAGTAATAAAGATTGGTCTGGAGAGTACACTGAGAAACATTCCTGTCCCTCCATCGCCAGATTTCTGTCCCCCATTGGGGTAGGGAAATCTCATGATCTCTGTTCAGGAAGCATGCACTGGATCGATTGGCTCTACTCAAAACAGGCAGTCCTAGAAGTATCTAGGTGAGAATCCATAAAAAGGGTATATAGGTTACAACCAGCACTCTAAATTGTATTAGGAATGTGGTGCGTACAACACCAGTGTTATATGAGACCGGGGGTTCTTATCTGCTAGAAGATAGGCTGCTGCATTCTTTGCCTGTCTTCAAAAGTAGCCCCATGTAGAATGCATTGCTGTAGTCCATCCTGGTTGTATTAAAAGCATGGGTGACCCTTGCCAGGGCCTCCTGCTCCATATAGGGTTGCAACTATGCACTAGCGAAAGCTGGGCAAAGACATTGCCCCCTCCCCACAGCCATAATATTAACTTGTCTGTTCAGCAGTAGCTATGAGTCTAGGATGATTCCCAAATCAGAAACTTGGCCCTTCAGAGGGAGTGCTACTCATTCAGAGTAATAATTGGAGGCAACTGAGAATGATGGTTTCTGGACAGATGGCATCTCCATCTTCCTGGGATTCAATTTCAGTTTGTTCTTTTCCATCAAAACTCTAGTGGTGTCTTGATAGCAGATAAAGACTTCCACAGCATCTCCAGGCTGCCTAGTTGATGTTTTTTCCTGCTGGTTTCATGTAGGTATTAAAAAGTAGAGGTGAGAACAATGAAGTCTGTGATACCCAACTTAGGAGTAATTGCCAATTCAAGTGCTACCCCGCTCAGCTGAACCTGACTACCTAGGTAGAAATGGAACCACTAATAGCTAATGCCCCCTGTACCCAACCCTTGCAGATGTTTTAGGAGGATTCCATGGTTGATGCTTACATTCCATCAAACAAAATGATCTACTGCAAATGCTTTATCAAATTATCAAATAAATCACTGTGCAGTATGTGTTCTACATGACCTGAATCTTTGCGTGTGTGCCAGTAATGTGTGTGTGCGTGCATACACAGAATAATCATTTTGAAGGGAATATAGGGATTCAGTAAGTTCTGGGATACTTTTTTTCTTCTTTTTATGGGTTTACCCAAACTTTGTTAAACATGTAGAGCACCAGTGTTTTTTTTTTCCAAACTGCTGTAATCCATTTTGTTTAGAAGATAATTTACTTTAACTGAAACAAAAGTATAAAACCAACTCAAACAATTGAGAGAATTGCAAGAAACTAAAAAGCAATTAAATCTAGTAGAAACAGAAGAATTATAAAAGAAAATAAAATTTGCTAAACAGAAAAACTTTGAATATTCAAATAAACCAGGAAAATTATTAGCCTACCAACTTAGAAAATAGAAATACAAACAAAACCAGCAATAGAGAAAGGATCCAAATTGTTACACTTAAGATTGAAAATAATAGGAGAATTAGCAGCTTTTTAAAAAGAATTATATTCCAAGACTAATATAGATGAAGTGGTTATAAATAAATATATTGAAAAGTTGGTTTTTAAATAATTTAACAATCAACATAGGCAAATACTAAGTACACCTATAATTGTTCAAGAAATGAAAAAAGCAATAAACCAAATTAGGAAAAACACCAATAGCTCAATATTATAAAGAATTTGAAGGAGAATTATCAGAACCATTGACAAATATGATGAATGAAATTAAAGAAACAAAGGCAATATCACCAATGTGGGAAGAGGCAAATATAACTTTGATTTATAAAGAAGGAAACGACGCAGAGAAACCACAGTCATATAGATAAGTGTCCTTGCTGAATGTAGATTACAAGATTTTCACAACAATATTAGCTGGCAGACTGAAGAAATGTGTTTCAGATATTATACATATCAACCAAACTGGTTTTATCAGAAATATAAAGGACAGCAGTAGGTTTATAATCCATATAATAGAACATGTAAACAAAAAAAAGGAAGAAAGCTGCACCTATCTTTTTGGACTTTGAAAAAGCCTTTGACAACCTGCAGTGGCAATTTCTGCTGGCAGTAGTGAATAAAATGAATCCTGGAGAAGAGTTTCAAGCTTGGGTTAAAATTATATATCAACAGCAAAAAACGAAGATTATGGCTAATGGAGCACTCTTTGCAGATTTCCAAATCAGTAAAGGAACAAGGCAAGGATTTCCACTAACTCCATTAGTATTCATCATTGTGTTAGAAATATTGGTAGAAAAGGTGATAAACAAATAACAAGTTTTAAAATTCATGTAGAGGGATATAAGCTTAAATGCTATGCAGATGATATAGTATTAATTCCACAAAGGGAATAATAAGCCCAACAATTTCAACTCTAGCTTCTCCTTCAAATGCTTTTCATGTCAGAGATAATTACAGCAAGAAAAATGTAATTACATATGCAGCTATGGTTCACTTAGATTCTATGAATAGATTAAAAACAGCAAGAATTACTTGGTGAAGGCTGGAATATACCATGGCTAATATATTTACAAATAATTAAACCACAACTTTTATTAATAGGTCTAATCTCAGAAAAAAACCCAGTAAACATAATAATTTAATGATATTATATGCTTACTGTAGTAAGAATAAATTTTGCTCAACACTGGAAGAAAGACACAGTTCCAACAATATCTGATTGGGAACTTAAACTTGGATAATATGCAGCAGTGGCAAAACTAACTATATTTATACATTAGAAATTTAAATTTAAGCAAGAAGGGTCCCCATATATACAACACATCACACAGCGTGGCAGAAATAATCTCTTACAGTTTAGCTTCTAAGGGGGCCTAAATGTCTACAAATATGGCAAATGAGTGATTTTTCTACCTTTTGGTATTCTTATTAAATTTGTTCCATTCATCTATTTTTTCCTTGCATTAATGTGTTATGTGTGTATATGTGTGTGTATGTGTAGATTAGATTGAATGAATGAATACAATGGAGATTTTAATATTAAGTAATTAGCTTAAGACCAAGTTTTATTATATAACAAATACTTTGATGCGAGTTGCAGTGGGTTTTCCCCCCAATGTATACTCAACTTTGAATGAAAAAGCCAAATAATTTTAATGCTTGTAATATTGATATCCTAAATTGTAATTAATATTGGTAGAATATTTTTTTCTTTTCTCTATTTTCAGTACTCTAAGTTATCTAAATAATAGAATATCAATAATCTTTAATTATATAAATATCAGTGTATGGAAATAATGCAATGTATCAAGATTTATAACAACACAATAAAAAGGAAAAGAAAAAAGAAAAACAAGAAGATAATTAACTGTGAATATATATGTACCTTCCAATGCTTAATTTTTTTCCAGAACAACTTTTTTCAAGTATTAATTTCCATTTTGGCTTTCACTGTTATGGGCAAATCTTTGATGCTTCATAAATAATGTTCTGTGTAACTTGCTTACTCCTATTAAATGTGGAATATCAGATCTGGCATAGATCTCAGATGGGATAGAATGAAAGAAAATTGCGATTAGTTGGCAAGTAAAACTAAATACTGTAGGATTCATTGTTATTTAGGTAACAAAAGAGAGAAGTTCAGTATGATGTATATCAATCAGTGATTCTTGAATTCCATTTACTGTGGACTAGTACCCTGGTTTGATACGTTGTGGGCCACTATGTTCTTGGATGTTCTATGATGCTTACTACAATAAAAATGGAATGAAAAATAGAAATGCTGCTGAACATAAATAGGCGTAACTAAGTATGTGTATTCCATGTATCTTCATGCAACTAACTGCAGTGAAATACAGAAAGGACTATGAAATGTTAGCTTTTTGAGGTCTTGGACAATTACAGCTATGCTTTCTTGGATTCAGAATTTCTTTCCAATAAACTTGATTCCCGAGCATAAGGAAGATATCTACTCTCCCTGCAATCCCTGTGCAACTTCCTATGCTGCTCAGAAAAGTTCTCAGTCCTCCAGAGCAGACTTTTTAATGGTATACAGGACTACAGGGAACAGATAACATCTAAAAGTATTTCATCTTCCTGTTAGGGAATAATTCACAAAAAGTTAAGTCTGAGCCACATAAATTAGGCTGTCTGCAGTTAGAATACAACACAGATGTGTTTAGATAGGGTTGCATTGTATCTCCCATCAATAGTTGAAGCTTAGTGCATTTATATATGGATTAATATCCATATAATTCTGTTGTCAGTCAGTTTTTTCTGCTTTTTTATTATAGTGATTTATGCCAGTGAATCAGTGACTGTAGGCTAAAACAACTTCAGAAAGAGGCTAAAGATGCTGTTGCAGATAAGAACTTCATCAAGTTTCCATATTTGAAGCATCGCAATTATGTTCTAGGGAATGTACTTGTTAAATAAGAATATAGTCCTCATTTGAACATTTGTATGTTGCAAATTATTTACTATTCCTGTGGTAATGTCACCTTTCCTTTTGAAAATGTATGCTAATCTGTTGAATATATTAGAATTAAGAATAGTATTGATAATGATCATTTGATGTATGTATATATATTCCATGTTTTTAGCTCTTACTATTGATAGCTGTTCCATCATTTAACACATTTGTAAATTTCAGAGCATTGAGTTCTTGAAGAAAATGTTTGAGGAAATATAATATTGTATTCTTACACATCACAAATGGGAGAATACGTATTTATATCGCTAATGTCTCACTCAGAGTTTTGTCGGGAAAAGTAGTATGGCAGTCATATTTTAAAACATACTTCAATTATTTGTTCTCTAAACTATTAACACTGCAACATATAAAAGCACAATTATTGGTGAGTTGACTTTGGTGTTAGATAATGACAATTTTTATCTTAATACATGATGTTAATTTATTTGTTCTATATTGTAAATCTCTGGCTGCAGAAAATGGGTAAGGGCCTAATGCAGTCCTGGGACCTTTGGTTACCCACTCCTATCTTTGAAAAAACCTGGAAAATTCAATTGGTGGAGAACAGTTATCCAAGTTCATGTTGGGTTGAGATGATTGGGTCATTTTATGTTAGTTCTAAATGCACTGCACTAGTTACTAGTTCATTTCATGATCCATATGAGCATGTTGGTTTTATTATTTCAAAACTTAGCTTTGACCTTAATTTTGTTTCAAGGACTACTTTTAGTACCACTAAAATAGTAGTGCTACTATTATAATCCTACCTGTCTCATCAATGTAATCCCTACTTTCTGGTTTGCCTTCAGTACATGCAAGATTAATCAGATTTAAATAAAAGTCCTGCCTCAGTAATGGAAGCTAGATTGCTTTAATGTCTTTCCCTCTGCAGTATTGGAAGGAAGGTATAATAATACCCCTTTTGCAGAGCAAACCTGCACTGTGACTGTTGTTTATTTTAATTAGATCTTGTAACACCTTATGAATATTGTATAAAATGCTGGTCAGTGACTGTGATAAAGATATTGCTACTACTGGAACTTGTGCTATGGAATTTCATACTGAGAAATATATATCTAAAGTCCATTTATTGGTACTTTAACAGGTTTTAAAAAATGCATTCATTTTGTAACTGAAAATTTTTCTAACAATTATAAAAGCTGTTCTGCTGGTTATTTAAGTTTAGTTTTGGCTTGCCATATTTTAGGATTTTTAATAACCTAAGCTGCCTTTGGAATACTAAATATTCAGATAAGAAGACATCTTTTGACTATATATACATATGCACACACACACACAAACAGTATTTTCAGCATAGAGTTTTGGGAGCAGAAGATACACTAAATATACCAATAATTTGTAAATCATCATATTTTTAAGGATTCAAAGAAACAATCTTTATGACGCCCTTATCGTAAACCACTCTAGTAGTTTACATGTTCTTTATAGAAGGTAATATTTTCAAGTTGGCACCCGTTTGAATGTAATAAATGGAATCATTTTCTCCACTCTGGCATAGTGGTATGGGTGTTACAACCAGAAGAACGAGATTCCTGGAAAGGAATCTCTTGTGCTACAGGTCATGTAAGAATGTACTATGGATCATTATTAATGAATCACAAGCTTAATGGAAATTAACATTAGTTGCATATGAAGAAAAGATGGGAAGGGGCATTGCATTATGGTGAGATGAGAAGTTGATTGGCTAAACTGGTGTGGGTGAAAATGATCTAATGAGCGTTTGGTAGTATTAAATGAAAATGATTGAAAGTGGCATTTTTCTTTTTGCAAGGGTTAGTAGTATTTGCCTGTTTATAGTTGTTGGTTTAAAAGATGTGATCCTAATATAGAAATGTTACTAAATACTTAGTGCATTAGGAAAGAAAGGAATGAACACGCAACAAATTTAATTCTGTCTTTTTTTTCAAGGCTTAGTTGCTGTGGGAGAGAAAACACAAAAGAGACATGGACCTTTCAGTACTGTGAAAGATCTTTCAGGTGAGACTTGAAATAACAGGTATATACTTTGTGCTTAGAAGATAGAGATTTAGTTCCTGCCATATCTATTTAGAAGAATCAGTTCATGGTTAAGGAGGAAAGAAATTGGTCTAAGACTCCAGACAATTCTTCTGATTAGATTAAAATGAATACTAGTTTATATAAAAATACAGCAGTCTTCCATGTGTCTCTGTTCTAATTACAATGTACCTGGAGGATTTTTAAAAACTTGTTGCTTCTTGTTAAGGCAAACATCCAGTATCAGCTTTGCTGGAAGTCTGTAATAAAAGAAGATGGTCTCCACCTGTATTTGTACTGGTGAATGATAATCGTCCTGAATATCGCAAACATTTCCTGTTTAAGGTAAGTTGGAATTATCATAACATATATCTAAAATGCTGGCTTGGTTCCTAATTCTGTGAAAGTTAGGTGGAACATGTTTTAAAATAATAAAATTACAGCGATCCATACTTATAATATATGAAAGGCAAAATACACATTAAGGGATCCTGTGCCATGGATGTGTCTCTACTTTTGTGATTGAATTACAAAGACAGACTCCCCAGTTTGAGAGAGTATTATTTCTTTGCTTTGCCATTCACTGGGTGTAGAAAGTAAGAATGTAATCATGGTATACAGAAATTGCTCTGAAGTCATCTCAGCAGGCAAGAAATCATATTCTATCCTGGGCAGTTTATCCTCTTAATATTTCAAACTAGAATAAAATGAAAAAACTACATGTAGAAACATCAGATGGGTTGAATTATGCCATCGAAACCCAAAAGGTTTAGTCCATAGGTTCCTTCCTGATTGAAAAAAGCCTCCCATGGATGAAGGGTCCTTCTGTCAAAGAGAATTCTTGGATTTAACCCAATGAAAACATGCTTACTGTTTCAGAACCATTGTTTCCCTACTTTTTATTGACTACCCTTTAATTTTTATTTAATTTGTGTGGCAAGTCTTTGAGCCTCACTCAAAAATAAACCAGCATTCTCTTTTCTCCCAAGAAATGCCATACATTTGTAAATTACATCTGAATATTGCAAGAAATAGGGTGGCACTCCTTACTTTTTTTAAAGGGGTAGAAATGTAGAATATTCAGCTTTGAAAATATTATTTTTGTCCTTTCTTTGTCCCCTCATAGGTGATGGTCAATGGAGTTGAACATAAACCTAGCTTTGTCAGCCCTAACAAGAAGCATGCTAAAGCCACAGCAGCCACTGTGGCTCTCCAAGCATTGGGACTAGTACCAAAGGAGCTCTTGGCAAATGCCACCAGCTTCAGGAGTGCCTCACACAACTAAACTATTGTTTTTAACATTTCAAACATTTCTATTCTGTATAACAGGTATTTCCTTCCTCTGCTTTTGTAAATACATTAGCATCTCATTGTAAAAACTGTACAGACACCTTCAGGCTTTTCTTTTGTACCTGCAAATGTATTTAATTCATTTAGTTATGGTATGTATATTGTTGATTTCAGTCATGCCACCATTTCTTAAATTACTAAACATCTAATATGAGTCTGGAAGTATCTGTAATTTGTTTTAATATTTTATCTTTACCTTCAATATAAATATGAAAGTTTACTGTTTTGTAGTATGATGCAGTTCCCATAGTTTTGGTAAAGTTCAGTTATGCTTACTTAAAACTATGTAGCCTATTAAGTCTACAACTACTAGATAAGTATTGGACCCTACAATTCAATAATTTTTGAAGCAAAGCAAAATTCAATAATTTTGCTAGATGTTATCCATTATTTCTTTATCAGAATGTCATATGAACACAGTTGTCTAAGGAAAAAAATGTATACATATGCGAAGGGAACCTAAGTCAGAACTCATGAGAATTGCAACATGAAATGTCTGCATGTTTTCATAAAAGAAACATGAAGTTGTAATTTAGTTTCACACACAATGCCTGTTGATTATACACATTTGTAGTAAACAAATGTTCAGCGATAATTGGATGGGGATGTATAATGATGCTATTGTTGTTGTATTCCGCTTGGTCAAATAAAGCAGTATAACTTCATTCTTATTTACCAGCCAATTAACAGAACGATACAACGTACATTTTGATCACTGGAACAAGAGGCATTAGTAGCGACTTTTAGTTTTCTGTTATAATCTGAAATTTAAAGAATTTAGGCTTTATAATTTAATAGGATTTTTTAAACTTAAGGAATCATGTTATTGATATATGCAAATTGGAAATATTTCCAATGACAGATATGGCTGAGATCAAATTGGAACTATTTTCTAGTTGGCCTTTGATTAAAGTTTGATGTCCTCATATAGCAGAAGGTGAAATCATAATATATTTAGCATTGTATGTCTATCAGACTGGCTATATTTGAAGACTGTAGTTTTCCACTGTTTAATCTTAAGCTGAATAAAAAGACTAGTTGGATTGGTTTTAGATGCTACTTCTCCCCAAGTAATTCTGAATGCAACAGTTAGCTACTAACAGAATTATTGTGTAGCTTCCTGCTAGTCATTTGACTGAGAACCCAAGAGTTCCTCCATGGGTAGTGTCCATACACATACATAAAATAAACAGTTCAGTCTAATCTGAATTGCAGATATTAGGAATACCTTAATCTTAGTCCGTATCCAAAATGTGCCTTGCCTATTAGGCCATTCATTCTAATGTGCAGGGCAAATTCTGTTTTGTTTACAGCTGATCCCAGATACGCAAGAACACCTTAGCAGCTAAAATTAATGTTTTTTAAAAAGCCTTTCCATCCCAGAGATTTTTGGCAGTCCTGCCTAAAATATGAAATTGTTATTTTTTACTATCTTTAAAATAACTTGTGGTTACATTTCTGAAATAACTGCTGCAAGCTGTTGTGCCTTTCAAGCCCATTCCTATAGTGGCCACCTACTGAAGGGTAATCTGGTTCAAAAATACCATGAGTATAATGCAATATGGATACTTTGAAGGCCTCAGCATTTGTATTAAGAAGTGTGACATATATAATAAAGGAAAAAGCCATGGACAGTAGAAGGGAGTATTGCAACATTTTTTCCTCACCCAACCGTCTTCCTTAGATCCATAGTAATTATAAATGTCAAAACACAAAATTCTTAAAAATAAAGTTTAATTTAAAATGTGTACTTCAGGTAATACAAGTTTAACAAATAATAACAAAGCAATTATATAAAGATTACACATTCTACCAATAAGTAAAATTAATGAGCACTGAGCACAAGGAAGTGCTCCAAATAAGTCATTTTAAATTATCATTAGATTTTCCATGTGTAGAGATAGTCATTCATTTCTAGGAGCCTTATTGAAGATTTTCCCAGTGTTGAATTAAGAATAAGTTGATCTAAAGTGTTAGGATGCAATCCACAATTGCAAAGGTCTTTGATAAGAGATTCCTGTGAAAAATGGGATAAACAAAAAATAATAATTAAGACCTCTGAAAGGTCAGAGATATTACCAGAAAAGGTTATAGTACAATGAAAAATATGACAATCCCCAATCTCTGGGTTTATATTGAAAATACACAAGTCTACGGGGAAAAAAATACAAATCTTAACCATATTCTTATATAATGATGTATGAACAGGTTACATAAACCTGATTCATTCAGATGAAAGATGGTCTTTTTACTACAACCAGCCACAAGAGAAACTAATGGTCTCGTTTTAATTTCTTCTTCCTGCTCTGTTTTTGGTGTACTGACAATATGCTGTTTGTTTCTCCACCTATAGTGAATAAATGTAACTTGTGGCTCTAACTACATGAGGGAAACTTGTTAGCACCCTATTACTAATTGTATTTATTAGCATCTCTCATTCATTAGTGTTCTTTCCTTCTGGGATGAATGCAAGTATTTGCTTACCTTCTTTATATGCTGCTTGTCACTGATGTCTGTGTTAAGCACGGCTGTTGGTTCATGTGTATAACATACAGCAGAGAAAGTTCCATTTTGAGCAGATTTGAGTAGCATGGACAAAGCATGGAGACAATGGGGCATGATAGGGCCCACAATCTCCAAACTAAATAGATCTTTATAACGTGAATGGGCTTGTGTTCTCACATTTACGCTTCGGGCCTAGGAAAAATGTCACAAGTTATGATTTTAAAAATATATAGAAACACAATTCCCCAAAGCCTTAAGTGTGGCCCTTAGAGACTTCTGAAAGTTATTACCAAATTATAACTTTGGCAATAGGAGCAACTTAAAAAAAAAACTTAATTGCAATTTACAATTGCTTCTATTGCCAAAGGAGTGTTATTTTCCATGGGCAGTGCATATTTGAGACTGGTAAAAAGATCTGTACTCAAAAGTGTGTGACTAAGCCAGACAAGGTTACTATCTATACCAGAAATAGATAGGCTACAGCTGCAAGCTATTCGGTGCTCACAGCAAGGTTATATATCTGAATGTACCAATTAGAGTTACTTAGATGAGTAACAGTAGGAAACTAAATTTGCATTTCAGTTCTGCATCTTCCAAATTGGTGCTGGAAGACACAAAGTTCCTTTTAAATTCCAAAAAACCCTTCAATTTTATAAAAAAAATGTATGTACTGGAATAAAGATAGAGATGGATAATTTCAACTAAAATTCAATTGGATTTTGCAAAACAATTAAAATGAATGATTGCTATGTGAGCAGAGGGCAAATTGCCATTTCCAAAATACAGGTAGTCCTTGCTTAATGACGGTAATTGGGACTGGCAATTCAGTTGCTAAGAGACCATGCTAACTTACAATTGCAGTTCCGCTGTCATAGTTAAGCGAGGATGTCAGCGGCTTAGCTAGCTGCCCAAGTTCCTGAGGAGAAATGCCAGGGAAGCCCAGAGGGCCTGAGGAATACCCTCAGGAATGAGAGAGAGAACCAGGGTGGCAGGCAGGTGCATTTTGGACTTTCCTCCCACTCTCCAGCCAGCTAGGCTGCAGATGGGCCACTCCCCCAAGCATCCTCTGGCCCCAGAAAGGAAGAGGCTTGGGGCATAAATCACATTCTGGCTGGGCCCAAGGGCAAGTGGGGAGGCTGCCCGCCAGTTCTCCACAAGCCAAATCATGTAGATGGCCAATGAATGCCCAGGTGGCTCTCCATGAAGTACTTTCTAGACTGGCACAAGCCCTGAAAGCCTTGCACGCCCATTGGAACCACTCCAAGGCACTTTCCCATAACAAGCTCAGTTCCAGGCAGGGCCCCAGGGACTGGCAGCACATGAGGGAGCAAGGGTGGTTGGGCAGGGCACTAGTGCTGCCCCCCCCGGGCCTGGCCTCCCTCTCCACCACCACCTCTTCTGCTGCTGCCGCTTCTTTTAGACTGCCAGCAGATTAGCGATGAAAAACAAGGACACCTGAGCAGAAATGGCCTGGACGCTTCCAGATGATTGTAACTTCCTGCCGGCTTCCTCTTGACTTTGTGACTGTAGTAGTGCTGCGACAGCCACAACTTCGAGGACTGCTCCTAAGTCCCACTTGCTCAGCACTGTAATAACTTTGAACAGTCACTGAATGAATGGTGATTAAACGAGGACTATCTGTATAAGTGAATTTCTCATCTTGAATTAAGAATTGGAGGGGAGATAGAATATAGTAAAATGCACATTATATTAGCAATCAGGAGCAATAATATTCTATTTGGATCCTGCATTTTCCTATGCTAGGTCTTTCAGAGAGGGCAGTTTGGAGAAATACAGTATTTGGCTATTCTCCCCTTCAGTCCCCTCTGTTAGTCTCCTCTGCCACCCCTCACATAATTCTGAAAGGTCTCCCAACTAATCTAAACAAATTTTCAGATAGTGAATGGGATAGCAGAGAGAGGGGTGTAAATTGGTGAGAATCACCTCATCTACCACTTACCTTTACCAGGGTAAGTGTTCACTGATTCAGAAGCTTCTGGCAAGTGATAGTGTATCTCTCTCACCCAACTCAATTATCTTTCTTCTCTGAAGGTGGACAGTGTACATTATACTATACCATAGTATTTAGTATATATTGTAATATACAACGTATAGTAATATTTATTTATTTCTCCCTGCCCATCTCCCCCCAATATTATATCTCATTACCCTTTTTACCTTGAGTGTTTGCATTGTTGCACCTCTAAAAGCAACTGGGGACAGCAATGTTGGAGGGATGCCAGCCTGAGGACCTGCAGAAGCCACCAAACTTTTACAGTTTATCAAGAAGTTCAGCAAAGTGAATGTATTTGTCCCTTTTACTAACACCAGAGATTCAGGCCTGTGATCCATTTTTATCTCATTTTTTTCTTTGTAGCTATATAAATAGTTAAGGAAGATGCATAGATACACAGTAGTTGTAGATTAGTACAAAGTTATCTACGGGGAAAGACTTGCATTGTGATAATAAGGCAAATAATGCTCTTCGGTGGTCCTCACTTAATGACCGTTCATTTAACAATGGTTCAAAGCTGTGATGGCCTTGGAAAAAGTGCTTTACTATCTGTACTCACATTTACAACCATTGCAAACCATCACACCACCCCACACAGTCACATAATTGCAATTTGCAACCTTTTTATGATGGTCATTAAGAGAATTACTGTGGTCATTAAGCAAATTCTGGCAAAAAAATCCATTGGGGAAGCTGGATTTGCTTAACAACCACATGATTCGCTTAACCATGGTGATTCACATAACAACCATTGTAAAAATGGTCATAAAATTGGGTCCAGTCATGTGGTGAGTTGCTTAATGACCGCCTCGTTTAACAACCAATTTTCTGATCCCTATTGTCATTAAGCTGTATGTAAGCTATTGTGGTCACTACCTGTATTATCCTTGCAAGCCTCCTGTGGTGGAAGGAGGCTTGCAGGGATAATAAAACCAAAGCTTGCTATTATACAGGAGAATTCCAAAGACTCCTAAAGACTAAAAATAAATATTTCCATAGAAATAGTTACAGTCACATCACTCTGGGCACAGAGAGAACTGCTCCTGTCTGTGCTCCTGCACTCTGAAGATGCCGGTCACAGGTGCTGGCGAAACG